CATCTGGTTGCCTTTAAAAGAAGTTTTGACGACTGTATTGGCAGAACGCAACATACGCACAAAACAATATTATCGATATCTGAAGAGAGTGAAACTACGTTGGCAAAGATTTTCTCTCCTCTGACACCGGCTGACAACAACCGGTGCCCAAGAGGAGAAAAGATCGGACCAGTATATTTGTTGAAGACTCTTCTGTCACACGACCTAAGCATTCATTTTCTAGAAAATATCAACTAAGAACACCTATTTCGGTAGTTCGTGTAGTAGCGGGCCGATGGTCTCGTGAAACAAAGTTTGCCTTTCAACAAAGTAGAGGAGAAAATGTTTTTCTTCCTAGAAATGACTGTAATTACATTCGAAAAAACGATGCTTTATAATAGCTGCTAGCTTAGTCAAGCGAGACTCATCTACCGTATGTCCCGCTGAACGCTGTGAAGCCGAGTTTTCAATGGCGCCAGCACCGACACACATCTGCAAGTTGCGCTCGCTTCGAGAAGTGAAAATGTACGCACCATTCTCTATACCCAACTAAAATTTGTATAATGATTATAGTTATGCGTTACCTTGGTATAAAGCATCAAAGAAAAAAAAAGAACAGTTTATGTATGCTAGACTCCGATTAATGATTATTCATATTTCAATAGGATGATTGCTTTTCGTGCGAATGATGCGCTCACACACACTATACAATTTGTTTGAATCGCTCACGAGTATAGTGGAGTTATACTCAGTGAGTATTAGAATCAGACGTCTGAGGCAGGATCATCGTTTCAAGACTGCTACAATGAAAACTCTATTTCATATGTATCTTTGAAATGTCGAAGTTGTATCTATCTGGAAAAGAGCAAATTTTAATTTCGAAACAAAACTAAATCGACAATTGCCCCCTTGGAGCCTTATCAGCACTTCTTCCGCATTACAATGAAAGAATCTATCACACTAGTAAAACAGTATCGTAACCGAGCGCCTATGTTTACCAGAGGGAGAGGCATCAAAATAGAACCTATTTATTCAGTTTTAGCAACTGTGGGCAGCATCCAGACTTAAGATAGGCATTCGTACCTCTTTTTCTAGGTGTCAATATTGGCAGTATGGCAAAAGCCATAGCTCTGAAGTGGTATTAGAGATACGTGCATATTGAACGCTACCTAACACTGTCTCATTATTACATGTTCAACTACTTCTAATATACTTTCAATAATCCAGTTAAAACTTGCCCAACGTGTCCGTTTGTGTTATTATTTCATTAGCCTGCTTCGCCTATTCAGTTCCTATTTAAGTATACAGCGGCTAATTACTCATTTAACATTTCGTACTTATCACGAAAACCTCACGCACATCTAGTAAAATGGCGTTAAATTTATCAAGTGTTACGCTGTTCGAGAACAGAATACAATTTTGATTTTTCTTATAGGAAGAAAAATTAGACCACTTTTGCTGAATTTAAGAGAAAAATTATCTTGTGTTTGTTTTTCTATGCGTGTTGCAGTTTGTTAATATTATGAGCGGTGTTCGACCACAGTGATTTCGAAATGTATTCATCGTCTAAATTTTATTGTCTTTGTATCCAAATTGTTTGTCTGTTTTTTTTTGAGTTGTTTATGTAAAAAATGTTATTCAATTTTTCATTTTTTGGCCATTGTTTACACGCCAGATAATCACAACGATGGCGTACCCGAGAGCCTCATAGTATTGTTACCAGGGAACTACAGTATAGGCCGGGCAGAAGACCCCAGTCAGAAGGTTTCTATACTTCTACCTTTTTTTACATGAACCCGATTTTTCCAAGATATCACGTGTTCATTATAGTTGTCTTTCAGTCTAAACAAGCCTACACAAAAACGATTACAATAATTACTGGAGCCTTCAAAATGGCCCGAACATTCATACAGCATATAGCTCGTATCAATCTGTAGGATTAAAAAAACATGCCTGATTATCATGGTTATAGTAATTAGTTTTTTTCTGTTTTTTCTTTTTCATTTATTTTTTTTCTTTAATGTGTTTTTTCAACGCAAGGCTCGTGCTAAAAAAAACTGCTTTAATTTAATTTGTAAATAGATTTGTCAAATAACTAATAAGGACTTGTTATTAACCAGCATAAAGTATCCTTGGATTCTTGGCCCATACTTGTTTTGTCTCATAAACATCAATGTTGCGTGGCCGTTGCTAGCCTCTAGACTTCTATCTACTTCCAATGCGGGCATATTTCTAAAAGGGGTGTAGACATTCAAATCACAGCTTCGCGAAACAATTTTTTTATTATTGGAACTATACAAGAGTTGATAAAATTCTGCTAACTAAAAAATCGGATAATATGCGTAACGGGAAGTAAGATAAAGGAGAAATGCTTACTACCGATAAATGCGGTAAAGTTTCATTACTTGAATCATTTCTAATCTATTTTTCTGGTAAAATAGGCTTTTTGTTATTTTTGTAAATTTAATCTAATTTTCTTTTCTTTGTACAAAGTGTCTTTCAATCGACCAATGCGGCATGCTCACGTTCCTAATTTATGATATTTCTATTTAATTATATCTAACAATATTTTTCACATGAATAATATTATTGCTCTTGATACGGTAATATTTTTTGGAGATCTTTACGTATAATTTCAGTATTGGACTTTTCACTTACATTTGCAGTAACATTTTTTTTTTTCGTCTTCTAATTTTCCATCAACATTTAATTAGATCTAGGCAGATTTTTGATTATTCAACGAACCATTCATTTTCTTCTGGTTATTTTACTGGCGTAAAAAACAGTCTCGAGATTCGAAGATGCCGCTGTACTCTTTATTACGAACAGAAATGTTCTTTTCGCTGTACACGAGCGCTATATAGTCAAGGTGTTTCATTACGGTACATGTATTACGATAGTAATCGATCTTTTGTGACAGAAATGCATTTGTGCAGGTCTGCGTTTGTAAAATAAAAACAGTATTACGTGTCCAGCCATTCAAACTGATTATACATATTCTGCATTCTTAAAAGAACAATGTAACAAATCTCTAACAAACGCAATAGGCCTTTATTGCTTTTATACATGTACGTTGTGATGCAGCAGAGCACTGAACACAGATGTTCAGTGCTCTGCTGACTTTATCGCCTTGCATAGACGGTGACACTAAACCGCCACGTGCGATGCCTTTACCCAAATCGTAGATCTGCAAAACTTACAAGGTGAAACAAAGGGCGAACCCTTATTGAAGAGATTACGAAATCGACATCGCTCGGTGTACCAGTAATTACATCGCTTTGAGGATTCTTTTTTTGTCAAGCTCAAGCTGTCATAATATCTCTATAAGTTTAGGGCTGTTGACAAATGCGGCTTCCGAATGGTTGGGTCGAAGCAAGCACGGGTATATAATACATATGGAAATGCCAATATAATTCTATATTATCTGATTCTGTTGATAATAGTGTTTTTGGCTATCCGGGTTGAGAACGTCAAAATGATATATAATAGAATCTGTGAGCAGTACGGCATGCCATTTATATCTGAACGACAGAAAAATTACCTAATTCAAAATAGAACATTGGTTTTATTCGGCTGATCAGAAGAGATCTGATTTTTGTTCACACAAGAAGGCAAGTGAGATTTTGTTTAACGAAGTAATAACTAACGTGAAGCTTTCGAGACTGCGATCGGCGCAGGTATACCAACGTATAACCAAGAAACGTGCACGTCTATTATACGAATATATCTGTTTTAGCTTAAGCGACAAATTTCAGTATGTAGACATTCTCGCCAATTACATATACGGCCAGGCGCATCTCCGATAAAAGCTTCCAATCGTTTCTCTTATCGTATAAAATAGCTGGCCATGCCTTGCGCTGACACGTGTTATTTTTATCCAATTGCTAGTGCGCTTAATATGCGCCTTCTAAATAGAATTCTTTCCCACAATTACGTCATTTCCTGAAATGATCTTCATGTTGAGCGGCGTTTCGCTTATGATACATATAAGGAACTGCAGTCTGCGCGCGGGCGATTTCAAAATATCTTTTTGCACTACTTTCTGTTTTCGTCTTGTCAACGTATATTTATTCGATATCCTGTTTGTAGGATGTGCACTGTATAAAATAAATACGCCATCATATAAACGATCGAAGGTTCAGGTTAACAGTATCAACAATTCAAAGTTAAGGTTAATAATATTACTACTATTGCTCGGTAAGTAAATTGATATAAATTCTCAATATACACAATCGCAAGGCTGAGACAGAATTGTTATCCCATGATAAAGGTTACTGTATAGAAAATTCTTGTATTTGATACTCTTGTATATTGTTACGGAAATCCTATAAATGTTTATCCTTCGTTTATCGACCCTGAAAATGCAAGGCTTGCGTTACAGACGTACGCGCATCTAGGATGAATTTAGAAAGACGCCAAATAATAGGTACTACACAACTAAGCGATGAGATACAGATCGTATAGGAACGATAGGACCACCAAACAGAAATTCGCTTACTGTTTTCGATGACGTTGGAACCTAGGCATTGTACGGGAACCTGCTTGCAAGATTTTGTTAGTGTAACTAACATTGAGTTATTCTTTTAATTCGTCGGTAGGTATGGATGATCTACTTTTAGGGACTAAGCTTCTTCTAACGTTATTTTGAAGAGATCTGAGGACACTTGCTGTACATGGCACGCGCTTCAAGATGTTCCTGCTTCATATGTAGAGGTTTTTATATTAGGGTCTCACTCGAAGGAATTTTGACCCAATCGAGAATCAATCTTTCTCAAAGAAATTCCACTTAACATGGGCCCATTGAGCAAGGCCTCAGATCTCAGTCATAGGCGGCAATATGTTGATGCCTGTCAGCGCTTCCACGGTCTTTTGGTAAGCAAGCTGATCAATTCATGCTCCACACATAGCTCATTATCTGTGAATGCTCATTTATAGCACAGTAAGAAGGCGATCCTATCAATAGGTCCAATAATTCTAACGTACGATATATCATTGCGACACCTCAGTCGTGAGCCTTGTGGATGCACCTAGGTCTGATAACTTCTCCTCGTAACTAAATTTGCTTTCTAGAACTTGTTGTCACCCTGAAGTGATAGGCTTTGTTACAGTTTCAGCCGCAACAACCGATTCCACTGAGGCGAAAAAACACTAGAATGGCCAAAAGACGCGACACAACTACCCATAAAAACAGCAACGTACATTAAATGTAAGTACATTCCTACAATTCGGCCGTATGGGCCTTTTGGGGGCCTGTGTGCCTATTGAAGGAATTGGATTTACAATGTAGCAGTACGGTATAACTTTGATGGTCTTTTCTTTAATCGACAGCAATAACGATCTAATAACACGTGTTATAAAGTAGATTATACGTTACAACGTCCTATTGTCTAGTTCCCAGTGCATATTTTATTAGCAGTGTTATGCTAGCAAACCGTGGATTGTAGTGGTAAAGGTAATAATTTTATACGGAAAAATTTTGGATAAGCTCAGTTGTGCTAGCAATGGATGTCTTCTTGATATTTACTTTCGTAGCAGGCCTAATCGACTATTCTGCGCAAGGTAAGTAGGCGTTACCTTTTAAATATGTTAAAATCGTTCCAGCTCAACGTTCCAGTTCAATTAGTTCCTTAGAATGTTAAAACTGTTATTGAATTATTTGGGAAAATTTAACAATCTCGCAAGATTCGGAAAAAAAGAACCACACTGCCTTGGGATTATTGAATAGCAATAAATTTAGACAATTTAAATCACTTTATGGTTCATGCTAATTAAATAATACAGCCAATCTTTCGTTCGATGCTTAAAACTGCGTATCAAAACAAAAAAAAAACAATACTTAATACTTACTAGACAAGAACTTCATATTCCTTTGATTTTAACTACTTATAGAGAAGCCTAGCACACAATCAGTGGCGGGCTAAATGCATGACATCCAAAGGCTATGCATTTTTTGCCTTCTGTGATAACAAATGAAAAAAGACCACAAATTTTTGTTTATAGTTGAGCAGCACGAAACAGATTTTTTCCAAATACGTCATTTTAACTATATCTTCTTTTCTTTAACAGTGAAAATCGTTTAATCTATGTGACCGTTTGCGATAACCATAATATTGATTTATGCCGTATCTGTCTAGTATATATCGTTTGCCTTAGTCTTAACAAATAGAAGTTCAGCCGTTGTAGCCTTCGCGCTGAATCCAACATACACGTACAAATCTAACTCCCCTTAGATTTCAAGGTAAAATAATTCATTTCTCATAATTATAAAAATAACTTTATTCATTCACACATTTTGTGTAGTATTTGTCTTATTGGCAAGATTTCAAACGACGGCTAAACTGCTTTCATTGTGATAAAAAAAAAAATGCTAACGATAATGAAAGGTAATCCGTAAGTACATGTTGTGCGAATCCTCCGAAGGAGAGTAACTGTCCCTACTGATGATTAGAAATAGTTGTTTTCTTTTCATTTTCTCGAGTGCAAAAGTACAATTAACTTCATATTTTAAAGTTCCTAGCAACCAAAAATTACGTTTCTGGCACTCACGTTAGTGGAGAATCTGCGGTTCTTGTCCAGGCGTCCGCGATTTCAACTGACAATTGTTTGATATGTATGTGATAACCATCATCGCATTTCCGGAACTAATTCAACAGCTTGAATGATTTTACAAGATAAATTATTTAGATTTTGTCACCCGAGAAATTCTGATTTGAACCCTGATGTGTTTTTAATTGCTCCAATACGATATCGTACCGTTTGAAGGGACTTTCAGTTGTACAAAAATTGACCTTGTTCCATGTATTTTGATGGCGCCATTGCACCGTCAGCTAAGTAAAATTTCTGATAGTAACCTCACGTATTTTACGTTACCATTTCAGCAAGGACTGTAAAGTGGGCTTACGAAGGTCGAAATGGTACGTAATCAGGACTTATATATATATGTATAGTATGTATAATATATATATATATATATGATAATAATGTGTTTGTACGTAACATAGTGTGTGATATTAGGTTAAGGTAAAACGAAACATATCTATACTGCATCTCTATTTGTCATCTGCTACTAGAACTGTTCACCTATGTCGTCAGATACCAACTGCGGATTCAAGTAAATATAAGGACTTGTCCGTAACTATGTTTATGAATTTACAGCTGAATTGCTACTTTCAAAGGTTTTGAAAAACGCGCGTTCGGCAATGTTAACTGTTATACAACAGTTATTTTAAGCTGATCGCTCACTGAGCGCATTATCTCAAGAAGGTCAAGAAGACCATAAAGACGCATGGCTGTATCGGGCCTTATTGCACAGCTTCACAAATAGATATTATGAAAGAAATTTTGCGATTATTACCAAATCCTTTCCCCGCAACTCCGTATCCTAAAAATGAAGGTACTTCTCTTGGATCGAAAGGATCTACTTCGAGGAGTTCTTATTTTTCGCCGTAGTTGAACCGAACGTGTGTACTGATCACATAGTAATACAACGAAAATAGAAAGTTAAGACGCTCTATAGCTATGAATTACGAAATGTAGACGCGTGAACAGTCTGGTAGTTATTGACATGTACTTCCTTGAAAATCTAGATTCCAAAATTAGGTTCCATCTGTAAATTTTGGACACCATGTTAGGACCGTATCTAATAAGTGTCTTTTTCATACTGGTAGGATTTGAGAATTGGCCGAATATAAAGGCGAAAGGTTTCCAGTGTGGCGGTCGCCGGCAAAGTCCCATTGATATTTCCCGAACAAACTCCAAATATCGTCTTTTACCGAAACTCCGATTCTGTGGCTTCGACGTGGAGCTCGAAAATATTACCGCTTCAATTGTCCATGGGTCAGGTACAAAGTTCCAGCATGCAACCTTTACTGCTGTTCAACAGAATTATATAAGATAAAAATAAGCTAACGAATTATTTTTCATGCTCTAATTTACTGCGACTGGCTGTTTTTCGTTAGCAAGTATTACAGATTTACAGAATAGCAAACGCTACATTAGCGGAGGCCCTCTCACAGGTCGCTATAACGTGTTCGGGTTGCATTTCCATTGGGGTCGACGGCTGAGTTCTGGGTCTGAGCACACGTTCGATGGACGGCGATACCCAATCGAGGTGAGAAATGCGTTACAATTGTACATTTCTATTGATTCGTCCATGTCCATTTATTTTATTCAGGCGCTAACAAATCCATACAGTCATCAAATCTTACCGACTATTATAAATAATTAGATGTTTAATTAGATTATATATATATATATAATTTAATTAGATTAATTAGATATAATTAGAACGTTTACTATTATTACGTATACTATTAATTATGGAGCACAAGACATGCCGTAAACCTTCGGTTGTTTTGCCGCAGCTTCATATAGTGCATGTAAAAGATGATTATGCGACGTTTGAGGAGGCACGCAACCACCCCGACGGAATCTGCGTTTTAGCCGTCATGTTCGTAATCGGAAAACCGTTTTCGTCTACCGAGAGAGACGTAAGGCTTTTATTACGCTAGTAACTGGGTAACTCGATGAAGTGAAGGATTTAGAGTTCATTTTACATATATTTGATCGAGATGGAATATTTATCGAGCTTATATTATTGTAAGATTGAAAACTTATCACTTTTATGAACGTGAAGAATAAGATTTTAAAGGAATAATAAAAAATTTAATTGGGAATTAAAATAACACCGTTGATTTAAGATTTAAATAACTTATATATACATTATAATCCCTTAATAATAAACTAATATATATTTTTTTTTAGTTTTGAAAACAAACTATTCAATCCGTTTATTAAAAATATACATATCTTATATTATTAATTTAAATAATATAAGTTTCTCCCCTCACTGAGGGTAACTCGCTGTTCATTAGGGTTTCTAGCTCGTTCCAGAGTGGCGGGAAGGCTTACCTGACACGAAATACAAAGCGTGTTTTTTGTGAAAGTAAAAACAATTGCATACAATAAAAAATCGGCATTCGATGCACTTAACAATGCATACGCATCCTCAACTTATTACATATATCATTAAATGATTTTCATTATCGTTTACCCCTTCTAATTTCAGTTGCGTGCGCCGACCCGGCTTCAAAACGAAGCTGAGAAACATATAATGGAGTATTTTACGACAGTTTCTGGCTTACAAAAGCTTCAAATATGGAAATCTGGTTTTCGCCTTTCGGGTCTATTGCCGCTATACCCTCAACAATTTTACACTTATCGCGGCTCACTAACAACCCCTCCATGTAGTGAAGCAGTCATTTGGATACTGTTCCATCATAAGATTCCCATTTCGAGACAACTGGTGAGTTAATTAGGCAAAACGATGTTCTATAGTAATTGACTATGATACTTTGACCATTGAAGTAAAAAATTACCAAGACATGCAAGTATCTACTCTAGTTGAACACTATACAGCCGCGAGACGGTTTTACGAACGGACAAAAAAATAGAAGTATACTAAAGCTCAGCTTGGATTTCTGCTGCGGCAAAGCAAACAGCAAATTCAGGAAGCAGCTGCAAGATCTGCTTTAGACAATAGAACGCGTTGTTTCATATAGCGATACCTTCGGTGCGTCGCAAATCAACATTCGCATACTATTATATTCAATAAGACCACCCAGGTCCTAGTTTATAAGACGTCTGAGACAATCTCTGAAAAGTGGTCCTCTAAAATGGTCGGTGTTTTCAATTGAAAACGCCTGTAAGGTATACTCAATGCAGGCCAAACTATTGCGTCTTGACAACAATCAGTTTAATGGGTACAAGTAACCACGGACTGTGAACGCCGTGTTCAACTCAAACCAGACCTCTGCACAGATCACAACGAATTTCGTTGTATAATCGATTCTGGAAAATTCGGACGTTTATGGCGTCAACAGGAAATTAACAGTGAACGTTTCTTGGTTCGTACTAAGTACCGAGTTAGAACAACGGCATACAGGTTTGAAAACGACGTCTGAAGATCTTTGCAGGCTGCTTAGAAAAACTTTGTTTTTGTAATAAAAAATTTGTAGAAGTTGCGAAATTATGAAGACATTTTTATGTCTATGTTTTATACATTTACATACAGATTGCTTAATATATGCCACTGGAAAGTGAACCATGAAGAGGTTAACTCTCTGTCAGGATAACCTTTAGATTATATATCCCGTTAGATTGTTTAGGGTTACTGTGTACGTGTTCTCTATCGTTTATATGTATATAAAGGGTTGCTAGATGGCTAGGCGTAGGTTGATAATGCATGGTTTCCTCGACGCTAATCTTATGAATTGTAAGAATATAAAGTAGAGCAAGGTTTTATCTATTTTTTTGATTAAAGGAGGAGGAAACAATAGTTTTGCTAAAATATAACTTTCTAGCATTATCCGCTTTGTGAACAATTGTTAGTACATCGTGGTCATTAGACCTCGAACGATGAGCTATACAGAGTGACGATATTACCAAACATTTACTAGCAATTACCTCGTTTCCAATACACGAAACGTACTGCATATGTCATACTTGAAGTCCTAGTAAATTAAACTCTTAAAAATTTTCAGTGTTTACTCTGTCACAGTATCACTTCGCGTGTTTAACTTAGTTAAAACCAATTAGTTTCCGCTCGTTTTCCGATAGGAAAAATGGGTGCCTCCTGAGAAAAGCTCAACTTACTATTATAGAGTCAGAACAATTAGCAATAATGATTTAGAAGTTTACACCTTCGCTCTTAACTAGAAAATATGACTTCATCGGAGTCGTTCAGTTTCTCGGCTGAGGTTCTTATATAACCATTGTATGCTTTGCCTTGAAGCTATATGTTTAAGGTAACTTTGATGAAGGGGGTTTACGCAATACTATTTGCCATCTACTAATGTTAAAAGTTTGAAGAGCCACAATAAAAATGACACTAGCTTCATTTTACGTCTGGAACTGTCAAAGAGGGTGGCATTAATAGAATCGCTTTAAATAGGCTTTATTCAGTTTGTATTTACGGTGTGTACGGTTTTATATGTACGTTCAGCTTCTGCAATTCTTAGCTAGGGTACGAATATATGGGTTACACCCACATAGCTGAGCTAGCAGGGAGTTGTGCTTCACGATCCGCCAATACACAACTTGCACATGGTGATGTACATTTTAATCAGACTAACGTGACGCATGAGAAAAATGTGCACTCGAATAATTTTTCACTGCCAAATTAGCATTACAGATCATCTCATGGGAAATCCCGTAATTGGATAACAAAAGGCGAAGATCATGTATGCTCTGGATACGCTTAGTGATTTGCTTTAAAACAAAAAATTAAAGAAGATTGATTCATAGATATGAAATGATTTTTCAAGTAGACGGTTGTTTGTATATCTTAATGAATATTAATAATTTCCATATACTTCTTCCATATAATTAATTTCTCAATATCTACTAATGACTCTATTGTATTGCTTGGACCACCTTTTTTTTTTGACCTTGTTTGGTAGCCCGAAATTAGCGTGGTACTTAGGTCTGATCCATTGAGGTTGTGCGCATTCGGTTCGTGAGGAACTTCCACGAACAACATTCTCGACGTGTGTACGCACTCTTCCCTCTCATTAATATTCTCAATTATATTTTACAGCTTCGTCGTTTTCATGAACTCGAAGACAGTGATGGGCATCATACGTTTCGCAATTGGCGGTCGACCCAGCCCATCAACCAGCGTACCGTTTACCGTACCGTTAGATTTTGGGAAGCTTACTAAGACAGCCCACAATGAGAGGATGATACGAAACACAGTGGCCCAGATATCGATGCTCAAATCAAGGCCATTTCAGCGTAAGCACTCCTACTTCATAATATACGTTACGCTGCTGTAATTAATTTATTATCTAAACTTTGTCAATAAACTTTAGCATCTTTTTAAGCCTATTGATGCAAACATTTGTTCATGATGGCCTATTGTACTCTTACATTTCCAGAGTAACAAGAGACATTCACAGGGTGCATGCCTTATTACCTTACAAACATGATTTAAACCAATGTTTATAACGTTCTATCATATAACATAAGTCTCTTTGTGATACAATTAGGTAATATAGAACCACGGTTTTGTTTGCTTCTAACCGACACCTAAACTAACTACCTTCAAATAAGTAGATTATAAATCGAGTTCTAATATGAAACTGCTGTCACAGGATGCTGACGTATGAATGGAGTTAATTGTACGCCGGCATGCAGGATCTATCGAAATTTCCAACACTCCTGCAGGCTGGTATTCAGATATAATAGCAGCAAGTCGACTGATCAACTTGCCCTTCTGTAGAAAAATGTTCTTGACTAGCCAGTCGACCGATAATGCATCGATGACAAAAGGGCTATGCTAGTAATAATCGTGCACTTGCCGTCCACGCCATATCGTAGTTTAGAAGGTGACTGATCTTTGTGATCTGATGATGAGTGTACGAGAACATTGCCACACGGGCACAGATTGATGTTATCGGCTACGTTCGGATCAAGAGAGGCAGTAGTTTTATTTGCGACAAACGATAATTATTATCTTAGGTTCATCTGCAAGAAAGTAACTTTATAGCAAATACTGACCATCTAATAGAAATATAACAAAAATGAAAATTTCGCCGTCCCCATAATGCGGCCGTGTGCGAGCCTTCATAGATTCACTCGTTATGTGATTTTTTTTCACACTTAAAGGAGCTTTGAAACAGTTTGGCTCTAGTTCCCATTGTGTACGATACAAAATTATTTTTCGCAGGAAGAACGAAGAATTTATTCTAGCAGACTCTGGAACAGATGCTTCTCTTTTGATTCTCCCTAGCACAAGATCTGAGTCATCATAAAGTTGTATTATGCTAAAAATTTCATCGTATTTTTATTTCACAGTGAGATATAGGTAGAGAGGTTTGTCTGAACGCAATTAATGACCTACACATTTGCGGATCATCTACTAAAAGTACTGGAATCCGTGCGATATTTATGATCCTATGAAGTGGATAGTTCTTTTCAACAAGACAGAGCAGGACCCCACTGCCCTATTTCTACTGTCCATGTCCGTAAGCGGTATGACGTCACCCAAATTTACAGGGGAAGTACGTTTTACAATAATGTAGTTTCGTTTAGTTGTTGAACACATAATAATCAGACTGATGCATCGTCTAATTTTCTACCTAATAGAGGTATGAACGCTTTTTCGGAAAACCTATGGAAACACTAACATGACTGGGATGACCCAGTCAAATTGATATGTCTATTTATAATAGTATTAAGCAGTCACATAAATCCGGTGGACATTGAAATCGAATAGCTTTTCAACTATATGCCACTAGCAGACGACAATTAGCTGATAAAATCTAGTGTTTTTGAAGCTTCTGAGCGAAAATCCGTTCAGTTTTAAAGGAGTTTAGAATCCTTTAATCACTAATATCAATGATCAGTGGCTTTTGATTCGCGAGGACCATAATAATTAATCGAAGATTGACGAAGAATATTAAACATAGAAACCCGTAGGCGAGGGTACAGTATGTGAATGATGCAAGCGTTTTCAACAACGGAGATTTGAGGTATTGAAGACCAGTGAGGATTGATGACTGAATGTCGGAATCAAAAAGAAGAACTCGTTGCTGCAATCAAGCAGACTTTTAACAAAAGTCAAAATAAGAGTCAAATAACTTTGTCAGCCAACACGGGCACTTTACGTACCACCTGTCACAGAATTATAACCCAAGTGCTGAACTTATGCAAGCTGGGTAAAAAAATAAAACCTCCGTAAATTGAGTTAGGCTAGCTGGGAAATAGTGTGATAGATTCGACGTGCAATTTGCTAAACTTTAACCAATAATAATCCTGTTCGAAGCATACGACCGCCTTAGGCGACATGTGGTTTAATGTTTGTCGCAATTTAGATAGGCGTCGCCTTGGAGGAAAATCGAGTTCAATGGCAGTGTCGAGTAAGTTCAGACGTAAGGTGATGGTAGTACTTGACATCAGTGGCATCTGTTACTAACTCGTCAAAAATTAAGTATATATATAAACTATCTCGAGTTCTTCAATGGAATGTTGTTACGGCAATCGAAAACACGTAGTCTGCCTTTTAATGATTGAAGAAAAGAATATCCAACGTTGATTTTGACCCGCTTATCCCCCTGATATAAGAGTGGTTTTATGCCCTAAAAAGGGCAACTGGTAAGCGATTCATTACAGGATTTGGTCGGCGCATATACAATGTAGAATTTCGTCATTCACCGGGCTGTTCGAAAAGACCTGGTCGTACAACGTGTACACAAGCCTTGAGAAACAACGAAGCCCGCTACACTTTTTACTGCTGTAGTTACAGGTTTCGTTTGCTGTCTATTTTTGTAATTTCGCAGGAGTAAAAATATCTCTTAAATTTAGGTCCGAAGTTGTCAACGATAGTCTCAACGGCAGGAAATCATCTGTTTTTTGGTTTTAGATTAATGTTCATCATTTTTCATCATTCACTATGAAATACACGAAGTTATACGCATAGCAGCGTTAAAATTTATTTACTTATCATTTTTTGTGTTATTGTTTTTTGTTATTAAATAATTACACATGTGAGCGGTATCTGGGTAATATGTGCGGCACTCGTTGTTCTACTCATTCACCCATTAACTTCAAATTTTCAAGTATTCTGAGTTACACTTGCGACTCGACAAGTCCCTCTGGTGGGTTTATATCTATTTGTGGCTTTCATTTTCTTATCAATTTGTCGTTTGTCTCTATACAAATGCGAAGAAAACGTTGATTAATCAAAATTTAAAATCCACCGAGCGATAAATTCATACATCTTTAAATAAATAGAAATTCTCGGCTATTTTGACGCTGATCATTTTACAGGGGAAGGCGATGAATACTTGATATTTCAGAGTAGTATAATTTTCTTTGTCACATAAAAGAATTATCTAGACTCTAGAAATATCTTCATGGACATAAAGAAATAGGTTTATTGAATTCGATGCTATAACGACCCGTAAAACTCTACAAATCAACTAATAACACTGCAAATTTCTTCCAAAAGTTCCATCCGTTCAAATTATAGACAGGTGTATCTTCTATCCAACAGTAGATATTCAAGCATCAACGATATATTATGCACGGTAGATCAAGGGTTATCTACGCAGTAACGGACACCCTAACAAACCTCACAGATCAACATGGTTCTATAATACATAAAGCCATATATAAATCTATCTTTTTCCATTGTTAACAATAACACGTCAGCGTTCGAAAGTGATTGTTCCCCTTCCCGCGCTTCCACGTCTTCTATTTCTGCATAATGACTTCTACCGGACACGCTACGTACCATTGTGATTATTAAAATAAACCGTTTAATAATTACAGTAGAGAAATTGACTATTTTATTTGCGGTTGATAAAATGAATTCATTGCCAGATTATGATACAGCGGTTCGTACACTAATCCCCATTCTCTCTCGTCCACCCCGTCATTTCTCTAACACTTCCGCACGCCTGTTCAATCAAATTCACTGAAGTTATCGACTGACCCGGTCGTCAGAATTCCCTCAGTACTTATGCACCTGTTTCTTGTAAAATTTTCATACACCTTTTTATACATCTACACACACACGCTCTCATACGCGCTGACGTACACATATATATGCATGTGTATATCCATAATCGCCGTCGGATGCCAATAATGCAAAACGAATCTCTCATCTAATTGTGCCGTCGGCAACCGCCCCGCGCGGGATAGTTCAACGACGTTGATGATCAAACATGATAGAAACAGTATAGGTATGCACGCCGTCTTTCGATTTTGCCCATTGGGCTCCCAGCATGACGTTGTACGATTTGTGTCTTATCAATTTACTCAAATAACAATCTAACTGAAACCTTACCAATTAACCGGCTTGTTCGTTCACGTTCGTCGACAGTGAATTCGTTCTGGTTGTTTTAAAAATAAATGTTATTGCTATTCATCTTCAGATTAATTTTTGTCTTCGCCTTCATGATGATCATCATCACCCTAATTATCATCTTCGTCATAGTCGTCGTTGTCGTCGCCATTTTCAGCGCCACTATTCCAGTCTAAACGGTTCGACTAGTAGTTCATCTAATATAATTTCTACCATTACTATCACGACAACCGAAAATACCAAAAGCTTCGCCGTCATTCATTTCACGTTATTAAATCGATTTCTGTGTTTTTTTTCGTGATTTTTCGTCGATGTTATTAGTGAACATTTAATAGGATTTCTTGCCCTGTCATAATTTTCCGCTCAACGAAGCGCCTTTTCCGCATATTGTACGATATTGCTATTGTGATCGGTACCACAAGATGGCGTTTATTGAAGGCCGATGTCGTCCGCTACCAATAGACACCTCGTTTTTATATTTTAATGACCGCCACATCTGTCCTGACCCCTTTCGTACCGCCCTGAAAAACAAATCTGTTTAGCCATGGCCTGCGCAGCAGAAAATCCAGCGGAGTGCACGGCGTTTGTAACCTTATTTCCTCTTTAGTCAAGGTTTTTGGTTTATTTTGTCGTTTTTACCTTCATCTTTGTTGGTCAAAATGCTTGCCTCGAGGCATATGCGATCCCCTCGGGTCAGTGAAAGCGAATTACGGTCACTGAGTGTCGTGCCAAACGTCGAAGTTTGTCACGATGAATCACCGTTAGCAGATCCAAATTAAAAATGGGTATCGGTGTCCAATAAAAGCATCCTTTTTATCGGTTGTATTGGTCACTGAAACTTCTTCAGTAGTTCGAGAGGATCTGGAAAGTGGTACCTAAAATTCATTCGATTGTTAAAAACTATTTAGTGCATCGTCAAAGCTTTAAAGAATACTGTAATTTTCAATTAAAGCTGTACTATTAATTAGATAAAGTTCAGAATCCATATTGCGTTGCAATGATAACAGATAAACGTGTAATACATTCTCACTATCGAGTAAGTGACATAGTTTGAGATTTACGCGTCCATGCGTGATTTTACCATACCTATATTTCGAATAGATCGCGAATGATGTAGTACATATGTTACCGAGGAACATCACCCCAAAGAACGCGGCGGTCGCTGCTGCGTGCCATGAATAAGTATCCGGATGCGTATGAATCAGGTCTACCAGCAGGTAAACCATGTAGAACTGCATGAACTGCATGAGAAGTAACATAGAATATAAATATTAACATATATAACACAATTATATGTATTTAACATGTTGTAAAAATGTTTCAACAATGCTAATATTCTTCAATTTGCAATATGACGATAAATACCTAAGTATTTGACGAGTCTATCCTTCACCTCTCTCACACTATATAAATATTTTTTACTGGCTGTTGCTGTTAGTTCAGTAGTATTTCATTGGAGTCTGAATTATGCTCATCACGGAAATACCGAATCGGCTTTGTTTAACTCTCTGTCATCAAAATTATTTTTTGGCCTAGTATCATATGAGAATGAATAGACGATAGCAGCACCTGAAACCCATCGCATAGGACATATTTCCTAGACCTGTTGATTTAACGGCCATGAAAAAGTACTGCTATTCTAGCACTGTCTTGCCGATAGTATTTATAACTCACGTATACAACGTAGAGGAATGGCATTAGTAGAGCAAAGTCCCGTAGCATCGGAGTTGCCAACGAAGCTCGAATCCCTTCAACCGATACTTCCATTGGATTGGCTCGATCCCCTAACGCCTATGGACACAGGCAAACGCGTATTGGTAGCATCGACAAGTGAACCTATTCAAGAAGCTTTCTTCACGCTGATTTAGCTATTATTTATGATATTGTTTTTGTCCTGTGGAGCAGACAACACTGTATTTGCACTGTGTACCTGAAGGCGATAGAGAGTGCCAGCCTGGTATCGATACTGCATTTGATGTGCTAATAGCATTGTACACGTGTAGACAAGGAACCACCATCGAAAATGCTCCTGGAAAGACCGTTTGTCCGCCCATAACACGATAATTCCCGAAAGTCCTGTCGCAATGAAGTGATATAGGCGCCACCAGCCGTTGATACTGTCGTCGATTGTAACGAAAAAGAAAAACGACACAGCCCATACATTTCTGCTTAATAACTTTTACTAATTTGAGATTCTTTTATTTTATAATATATAATAATTTATAGTAATATATTATAGCAGGATATGTGTATATATATGTATAGTATTATAATATAATAATTTGAGACGTTACAGCACGTAAGCCGTCAAATAACTAATTTTTTTTAATTTTTTGGCTTATTGAGCGCGACACTATAGCCATTCTTTTCGCAAAAAAGGATAAAGAATAATTATGTACTGCATACTTACTTGCTTCCGTTGACTTTGAGAATACTTTCGCGAATCGTTAATGTGCAGTAGAACCAAACGAGGGCAAATAACAGCACTGAATCCCACACTGATCCACCTCCCATGTACAAACACAGTAGCGACAGAAAAAGTAAAGCCCACGTTACAAATAATTTGAAGCTGAAATTGAATCAAGCAAAATGAATACGAAATGTGTCAAGTATATGTTATGTATACCGTAGCTGTTTGTTACTGACAGGTCTTCAGTGAAATGTTTTTTGTTTGTTGATGGCACCACTTAAATCGGCCACACAGATTAATCATTATTATTATTATTATTATTATTATTATTATTATAAGAGTACTAGAAAAAAGCTGTGCCCCACTTACGTTTCGTATTCTATCTTGTAATTAAGTTTCAACTTATTCGATTGCATATTGACGTTCATGCTACCGAGAACCAGGTAGAGGTAAAAGCCACAACTAGCAGGAAGATTTCGGCGAACGTTGCGAATGGCCACTTCGAGCTCCCGCATCGAAGTCTCTACTTCTAGCTGCTTGTGCATGACGGATGCTGGCAGATTTTTTAAACTGTAGTGATGATACGACAAAGGAATAGGCACAATCCTGCTATGTTAGAGGCGCATAGTCAAGAGTTCTGGACGAGTCACTCGTAAAAGCTAGCCTTTATAAAGGTGTTACCTTCGCAAATCAACTTAACAATTCCATCTGCTTAAAATCGACTACGGAAAAAAGGCATAACTCTAACTGCACGTAACGTAACTATTAAATAAACATCTAGATGGACTTTGTATTAGGATATGATAATTATAGGGGGTTAACCGTCGATAATAGTCGATGTTTGGATGCAAAGTTTGGCGCGTCGCCGGTTCAAGTTAGCCAATGTACATATATACAGAAAATGCCTATCAACGAAACAACAAGATTAGAGAATTAGAGTTTTTAAACCGGAATACTTCCACACCTTGAACCGGCTGTACTTATTCTTACACATGTTGACCCTTCCGTCATATGCTTCGACAATTACATCCCTCTGATACGTACGATTTAAGCTGTTTCTTTAAAGGTGCCAAATTATGGAGAAGGTGCTTAACCTGCTTCTCACAGAATTCTTCACTTATTTGTAGCGCCTTAGAGTGCGATGAATACGCCACGAAAGCCGGCTGGAAGAACAAAAAAAAAAAGAATCACATAGTTGTTGCTAGTTGAAGCAATCGTTCACAAATGTATGTTTGTTTCAGCGATACTGGCCAGAAATAAAAACCTGACATTTTTTCTTAAGACAGGAGCCTTGGGCTTTACGCGCTTAACTTGAATAACTTTAGTGCTAAACGAAAAAAAGCACTACTTAATTTTGAACGAGCCAGTCAGTAGGTAGATATTATAGTTTTGTATTGCTCAGCGACAAAAGGTGACAATAAAATAGGCCTTAAGACATTTTTCATAGACTTAGCTTAGGTTCACTATGGTTTTAACGAAGATCACTTTCGTTTTATATAGATAAATATATCATTTACAAATGTTCACATTCAGCGATGGATAAAAAATGTCGTTTACTAATAGCACCAGATCACCGTTAAGCGATAATACCCAGGAGAAGAACGTTGATTTTCAATGTTCCCCCGTTATTAGGGCTGTTTTGCATTGTGGAGCATTTCACCTTAAGATGCTTATTGGTATGTCCTTCTTCAATGCTGCACCAAATTGGTGGACTTAAGAGAAATGCCATGTGACTCATACGTTAACCCCCAGCCTTTACTTCACAATCTAACCTGCAACTAATATGCGAACTTAACACATAATATGCATCCTATATCTATAACATGGTGTAATCTAATTTCTGTATCAACCATAAAAAAATATTTTTCAATACTTTGCGTATTTCATCCTTTTATTCGCCACCAGGGGGCACTTCATAGGTGAAAGCATGAGCTCTGGGCAGAACCCTGCTCTTTATCTGACCCATGGAAACCGTTCGGAAGAATATCTTGTCAGCATCTTAATAGATCGGTTTCCAGCAAGTAGGATTGCATAACAAGAACGAAGTCAGCTGTTAATAAAGCAGGTCTGTGTCTCTGCTTCGCAATCAGTATCTTTTTCTCGTTTTTCAAAATCGCTTCTTTGCAAATGTTAAAGTATTAGAAATACACGCACTATCGACTAGCACTGCCAAACTTTGCTCCACAACGATTTTGAATGGGGTATTTCGTATCATGCGGATAACTTGGATTAGGTAACCATTACGTAACAGATTGCTTTTACGTACAACATATATGAAATGTTCTAGCATGATTTTCGTTTGCCAGTGTTACTTAAATCTAAAAAGAAATATCATAACGCTAGAAGCTTCTGTACAATCACCGGGACACAAACGTTTCAACTGGAACTATGTTGCAAACAGACCCAGCAGACATCACTCGAGCCTGTCACGAAAGAAATTTACAATTTCTCTTTCCAGGATGAATATTACATATGAAACAAAACAGCTGATTCCAATTCGAAGGGTTGTTTTGTACCTGTTGATTAAGTGGGCTTTTAATGGCTGATGAAAATTTCCGACTACTGATGAGAATTAAAATTGTCGTTGGGTGTTATTTTATGGAGGTAGCAATTTTGTGTCGATCGCTTTTGAATGTACGTTAATTTAACCATTTTTTCCTTCCACTAAATGACTCGACTGTTTGAACTTTTCGTTCTGTTTCCTTTGTGCAGACTATTGACATCAGCAATGACGTTCGCACGATCAACACGGTACTGTCCACATGTACAAGCGCTGAATCACTAAATGAGAATCACTAAAAAAAGAGCAGTCGTGATACGGCTGCTTCTAGGCTTAAAGACCGCACCGACAGTTATTACAAAGAAGACGTGCCAATATGTATGTCTCGTTTTCGATAAGTTATTTTTCAGTTCAGTGCGATATTAAGTTTAATATTATGAGATCATTTGAAGTTTCTCTTATATCGTGAAGTGTGTCAAATCACTGGATCGGCCATACGTTGTAGTTACAATAAACATATCGATAAATTACGATCAATAACACTTGGTCCAACTGGCTCAACTCTTTAAGGCTGGCATTGTGACTTCAATGCTCGCATTGAAGACGATGGGAAAACTTGGGATTGCCAGCCGCCAGTAATCTTTTTATCTTATTCGAAACAGGTTGCTCGCGTAGTTATTAAAACAAAAAAAGCCGCAATTCGGTTGTACGATAATTTTCCCTGTTGACAAATCGTAATAATGAGAATGACACCATGGATAAACACGAATTTAGAGCAGCAGAAGTTCAAAATACTACCAGGAGAAAGTAGACGGAACGCAGACCATTAACCTTTACGCAACGGATCATTGCCGCACCGCGGTACGTGTCCTGCTTAGGACGTACGCAAAACGTATACGGGCCAATATGTGCCAGAACAGAATTTAAGCAAACTGTATAAGTCAAATTGGGCATAACACGATGCCTTTTGTACAAATCAAGAACAAGAAAAGACTGCCTTCAGTCAGTCACAGAAGAACTTTCAAAATAAAAAATCTTAAAATTCCTTGAAACGTGGTACCTACAGAAAAAAAAATCAACCTAAGTAGTAGTGATGTGTTTCATGGATAAATCAAAACGGGAAGATAGCTTTGGCCCACCTTGAATTAGCCACCTTATATTTAGAAAATCTCATTTTCAAGCTTCGAAACAAACAAACTATATATATGTTTAAGTGACTATTGAAATGGATACAGAACTCATGCCATTTTTTACTGAAGACCTAAATCTCACAGTAGGACTTCACTAAATGAGTAGAGACCGCACCACCTTTATAATAATCTTAACTACTATTTGGTCCGTAGCAAAACACAGTATGTTCTAACATACTGTACTCAGAGTAACTACCGATGTTCGACGACGCAGTCACTGTAAACATATATGATTTAATGAACACTATTAAAACGCACTTGTCTATGAATCATAGCGATAACTTATATTCATAGTGCTTACAAGAAACAACAAACTCGAAGTTGGTTAATTAACTGTGGTCTGCTGAACAGAGCGCAGTGCGAAGCTCCCATACCTGCAACTTGTCCTCATACTCGGCGTGAGTTTTAGCTAGTTCAGCGACTATTTCCGCTAGGCGAGCTTCAGATGATGTGGCAGATTCACTCTCTGATCCTTTCTCAGATTTTTTTTCAACAGTGTTGTTTTCATGAGCTTCTTTCTGCGATGGTTCGGCCATATTCACTTCTGTGTAGCGGTCAACAGCATGCAACCAATGCAGCTAGCCTCGACTTTCTTTACGTACCGGACAAATCTCACAAAAGGGTCGTCGTTTCGGCAGGTAAAATTATAAGGGTTGTTAAAATTTTTTGCCGTCGACAGCAGAAACAGGCGCCCTTGGAATTTCCAGACTTGCGACCAAATAGGCATGAAAAGGAAACGATAAAAAGTGTTACACAGTTACCGAAAGCAAGAACCTACCTAAGCGACGTAAACTGATTTTTTAAATATAAATACAACAATATCCTGTCAATTGAAATTGGCCACACGTAATTTACCGCAAAGCTACTTATCGTATATCTCAATACCTCGAATGTATGTTACATTAACACTTGTTATCGCCTACACTTGTTGTAGTTAGTCTCCGTGATAGTGATATGCCGAATCCGAAGACGGTTGTTGTACTGTTATAGAGCTTGAGTTAGTTATTCACTAATTATTTTCATTGCTAGTTTAAGTAGTAACCCATGCGCAAAAACATTATGTATCGATAGTTGGCTCAGACCGTTCGATTTTGACTTTGAAATTTAAACGATCTAGAAAGGTCCTGGGCAGACCAAGAAGGTGCTATCAGCGCGTAGATCAATCGCTCAAAGTACTTCAAATCGTATCAGGTAGAAGTGATCTCTATTATACAGGAACAGTTTTTCGATATGTTCATATTTATCTAATAGCAGCAGCTACCATGATCCCAATAGGCAAAAGCAAACCTTTCGAGCGCTCTGCGAAATCTTTATCCAAAGATTTCGCAGAGCGCTCGATTTTTTATTTGCAATACACTCATAATTTCTATTGACTTTAAACTGCATGTTTTTAATTGGCCGACCATCCTATTTTTCTTGTCTGCTTTTCCCCCTTTTCTTCCTTGTCTACTTTTACCCATTTTCAGCTTTTGGTATAATCGCACTATTATCTAAGAGCCTCCTGTTCCGTAATACATGTATCCTCCGTCCAACAATTTCACTTTATATATAGTTTAATAGCACCGTGAAGACTAATATTTTTTCATGAGGCGCATCTTTCAATGACCACAGGCATGTCTTCCATCAATATTCTCCATATAAGTGAGGTACTCGCGAAGTTACGCGGATAATCCGATAGTGATTCGTCTGTAGCGCACATAAATTATACATCGAAAATAGGTATAGGTGCTTATTAGAATATCCACGCGTGACAAGCCTTCGGCTTTATCCTGAACCTATTATGTAGCCCATATATTATTATTTGGCGTAGGCTTTTCTGTCCGTATCTAACATGTTGACCATCTCCTTCAGCACACAGCTGCGATGCGATAAAGCCTGGAGAACAATAACGAATGCAAAATATCCTAATTATTCAAGGCGAAGTATCACAATGGCAGAAATTACGCTATAAAATTTCTAGCTATTAAAAAGCTACCATTAATTGATCGATCTCGTTTACATGCGAATACAACAATGACGCGTATCGTGGTCAAGCGAATGACAACCAGATCTGATTTCCGTATCCTGTTCTGCACCTGATGCCTTTTCCAATGCTACCTAGTGCGAAACCGATAATATATTCGATATATTTCGACCAAGCTGAATATATGTGTTTTTAGAGCGGTCTTTTTGAATTAATGTTGGACAGCAGTCGCGGAGTGCTTTCTGGAAAAATTGTGCTACTAGTACTAGAAACATTAGAGCTTCTGATAACAATGAAAGATAATTAGTTGTAAAATGATAACTCCCCCGGATAAAACAAATGTCCCCATAAAAATTAATACGTAATAAAACAGATTACAAAATTCTTTGTCGGCAATCTATTGGTTGCTGATCGCCCTATGGCTAAGAAGAACATCGACCGCTACAGCAGACAGACAACCACAAATCCTGTGAAATAACGCTCAGGCCTTTTCTATTCGGCGAGATCTGATCGAGTAACAACAGATGAGTATCCTGTAGATCGGTAATGTCAAGTGCGCCTTTCCAGTTCCAGTTTGACAGACGCCGTAACCGCTGTGTAATCACACTTCCTACCAGGTATTTTTTTAAAGTTGACCGGGAACACGTAGCTCAAGTCATCTGAAAGCAAACACCTTCTGATGACGTTGATTATCCCCGGAACGTCCTCGCTGTAAGCCGTTCTCTATTCCCCTTACCCGTAAATGCTCGCGAAGTCCTGTAGAAAGCCACGCAATCAACCGGGGTGCGAAGGTAGCTTTTAATGAGAGGGGGGGGGGGGGGTAAACCCACCTTCCAGAGGTTCACCCCGCTGCGATGTGTTGGAAGAAATAGCTTTCATATTCGGTGACGGCATCTATATGAGTCCGTAAAGGACTTCTATTATATAGCTAAGGTAATAAAATGACAAAAGTCTTTGGCTGTTTGTCGGCAACGGTATGTTAATGACAAAATTCCCATTTTATGCTCTGGGCCTGTCATGCAGCTGCCGTTTGAACGTCGGAAGAAGATTATCACGCATTAGTCTCTCACATTTAAGATTCGAATTATTATGGGCCCCACAACATCGTAACTTTATATCCCACTGCAAGCTTTTCTACTCATTATATCGAATGCGTCTTCGAAACATACGACGGGAACGAACTAAAGGTTCAACGGCATGCCAAGAATAAATAACATTATTCAAATAAGCGAAAAAACGCCACTGCGCTTGGTGATTCGAATTGTCGCTACATCTGATTACTCTTTCTATTGATAGGTATTCTTCTATTTATATATAGAGATATATATATATATATATATATATATATATATATATATATATATATATATAGATATGTATATAAACACACCTTCTCACGAAGAATGACGAACGCCTTACGCTTTGTTTGTGGTCGCCTAACTTTTTATGAGTGATGACTGTTGTGTTTGTGTTAGGCAAAGAACCAAAGGTTGAAACAGAATAAAGATTATCGACTACGATTATAGGTGGCGATGATGAATTGCAAACGGTGGTAGTTGTTTGCCGAACAAGTCTTTCTCGGCACATCTGACACTGCTGCCTACTCAGGAAATCTTGTAATTAAACCAACACAGCCTCAGGGTAAGCACCATTACGCTGGCTTTACGACTCCTTCGTGCTATTCTTATTTGTAGCGAAAACCGCTTCACAACAACATTTCGTTACTATATCGTTTTTCTCAGTTCGTCCAAGCTGTTGTTCGTAACACAAGCTCGCGGCTTGTAGGCGTGCGACCAAAATACCGAACAGATACCAATAACAATCATATTCGTAGATCCCCGAGCGATTAACTATCTTCACTCGTAACACTCCAATACAAGCAAATATAGTAGAAGTAATTACGCTCGCAACAAACAGTGGCCACAGTGTATGCCACGCCGCAATTCATTAACCAGCCAGCACCGTTCGGTAGGTCGGTCGCAATGGACGACGGGACAAAATCTACAGGTCCCGCCGCAGGCCGCCTGCTACGGAATTGAAGGTGGCGGCGGCGGCGGTGGCGGTGGTGGTGGCGGTGGCGGCGGCGACGGCGACGGCGGCAGCGGCGGCGGCAGCAACAGCAGGAAATTATTATTGGGATTTGGAGTAGTATTAAATTTATTGGCTGGCTGACCTTAAGCTGATTGCTGACGATTTTCTACTTTGCATGGTGCAACCGTCCGTTTTTTATCAGTGTGCCTTTTCCGGCTTGGCCTGCTGAGATTTGATCAGACTAATGTTATTGTTGTTGCTGCTGTTTTACTGTGGCAATATTCTGCTCGACAGCTGAGCTCATTCGGGCCTACCAGATCCACTAGCCCGTTCTCGGCGTCGAAGCCGCTCGCTGCGATTCACACTGTCGCTAGCTGCTGCTCAGTCTAGCTCGCATCGTCGTCTAGTTAATAACAACGGGCAACACGTACAGACAACAGAAGCCCCTCCTCCACCTCCCCCCCCTACGCACTCACTAGTCTTCCCCTCTCCTCTCCGGCTACCAGACGACGATGGGTTCAATGATGATGACGATGCTGATGATGAGGATGGTGATGCTAGTGATTATGATGTTGGGTTAGTTGTTGTCGCCGCTGCCATTGTCGCTGCTGGACGGTTAACGCTGTGGGAGGTTGTTGGAAAACTGGGTAAGTGGCGGTCGCTGACTGGCTGCCTGGTTGTCGCCAACCGATAGCCGGGCAAATAGTTGGTTCCGCTAACGGAGCGGAGCGATCTCATTATTTAAGTCGACTGCAGCGCCACCTACCTAGCTATAGTTGACGTACAGCAACGCATAGGTAGGCCGAATGACAACACAAATGGCAAACGGCGGGGACTGGACGAGTAAATGATAAAACGATACGCGTGCTGATGGTGGGGTAGAAAAATTGTAGAAAAGCAATGTTTGTTCTCACTAAGAAGCAATTAAGCGCCTTGGATCAACGCGAAACCAGACATGTTGCAATAACCAGAGACTCTCACCAGAAACGCCCACAAGATAGCTACTGATATAGTGCCATATTTATGTTTCAAATGTGGGGCGGAACCGATGTGAGCCTCTCAGTCGTTTCATCTCAGAAATACGTATATCTGTCATCACACTCGTATATGGCCCAATTTCGCTATTATTGGGAGAGGATTATATGATTTGAATGAAGTTTTATCCTGCTTCCTTATCCACAGAGCCACAATTCGCGTAACGTCCGCTTTCAGGTCCGGACTACCCCCTGTGCCAGTCGTGGTTCGTGTCTGACAGACAATGCACGGCCTGTTTATTGTAAGGCCTTTGAATCAAGCGCCTTTTTTCCCGCCAGCTTACCCTTTCCCTATTTGTGTTTTTGGCCAGCTGATCGGGTAAGGTGAACAGTGGTGGTAATCTCAAGAATCAAATCCGGTTTAATCAGTAGTTGCCTATCAGGGGATACCCTGTCTGTATACTTTTCCGGTGTGAATTTTTTATATTCGAGCTTCCTGAAAATTTCTTAACCAAATTGTGTATGTGTTCATTAACAATTGCTAATTGAGAAATTAAAGAATACTTCGAGGACAGACTCATTTGTTGACAATGGTTCAGATCCTTCAGAAAGTACGACTCGCGTCCGTTAGTGGTTCCAGGCTTACAAAACTTAGAGCTCACGAACCGCTCATATTAAACTGTCGAAATCGGTGTACTGAAGTACTCAATAATTCGCTATCTGGGCAAGTATTTAATAAAAAAAAATACATAAATCGTAATATTGGCATTTTACAGAATCTGATAGAAAAATTATACACAGGTTGCTTACTAACAAAAGCAAAACTCTGTACACTGCATATACTCTGTTAACAATCTATTCTTTTGCTTAGCATTTCCATTGCTGTTGACTTGTTATAGAAAGTTACACATTGACAAAACCATATGAGATATTCTATATATTGTGCTGGTAAGATCTTCAGTCATCGTGATGCAATACAAGTACAAACGCGTTGAATAGCAGCTATATACATTTTGTACCTGGAAGCAAGGCTTCGTCCTGAATATCTAGGGACTATTCTTACGGGTGAGAAAAATACGGCGTCAGGCTTTGAAAAACTCTGTTGCCTCACTAGCTACTCAATATGATATTAGCTCATTCTGTATATACTAGACATTTTGTCGAAAGACCGATTCCCCTTTTCTTGGCCTTTTGACCGACAGCCTCTGCAGATTTCTAAGTTTAATTATCTTATATAATATATCCTTCATGACGGTCATGATAATGCCAAGCACTTCAAACCCGAATGGTTTGTCTAATAAGGTCCACGTCTTCCAAGGACGACAACAGTACTGCACGTATCTGAAAAATACTTATTTTAGCAAAACCTTTCTATTTAGACCTATCTATTTAGCTAATTTTATTGAAATATGTTTTAAAATAAGTTTCTTTATAAGGTCATCTATATGAACCTGTGTAAACTGTAAAGTGTAGTTTAAGTTGAGCTAAAAAAAATCACTACTTCTTTGTGCCACTGGTAACAAACCGTACGCGCCTGTCGAGAGCGTCTCTGGGCGGTCGGGAGTAAGTCGCTTCTCTCTAATCGAAGAAAATTCGTTCTTTCCAAAAAAGAACGTCTCCCATCTGTTCTTCAACGATGCTAATCATAATAAATAACACGATCTATGCTCCACTGTGATAACATTTTCGCAGGCAAATAAAATGTTTATATGGCATAGATTGATCTGCAGTTTTTTTAAGGAATGAAGAAAACACTACTTACCGATGTAATTGTTACCTCTATTACTCCGCGAGAGATGAAGAATATAGAATTAGACTACAAAAGGCCATTGCCGCTATTCTTCTTTAGAGAATGCACGTACTAGGGGGTTGTGGCTAGTCCATGGAAAATGTAAATAACGCCGAGTGTTCTAGAACTACTGAAGTTTCGTAAAGCTTCTCAATTGTAGCTCAAGACTACCAAATAACTCATTACATTTCCGATAACATTATAAACAGGGGTCATAAAATGAGCAGCGCACGAAGGTCTCTGTGTTTCGTGCCTTGCATTAAGGAGAGCCCTCGTGTATGGAAAACAGGATAGATATAATACAGACGTCAGTCAGATCATACACAAATTTAGAACGCTAATTATAGATACCGTTCTGCATGGAATTGATTACATATTAAAAAATAAAGAATCGTTTGGCGATATATCATTAATCATTGGTGCTGTAGGCCGTAAACCTTTTTTTCTAATTTAGATGTTTGCTTTGCTTGTGGTAGCTGCAGGCCCGTTGCATTGGCCTACTCATCATTTGAGGATACAAAAGTTGAGTGTAGACTTCCGCCTCTAGTCATCAATCATGGACTTTTCGGATCAAAAGGAAATTGGAAGTCGCTTAGCAAGTGTTTCACTCAGAAAACCGGGACGAAGGTGTGTTTTAGAAAAAAGCAAAAATCGCATACGGTGCGATAATTTATGAGCTTTCTTTTTGTAAAGAAAATGCAGTGATTTTGTGTTTGTACGGACAACCTCAATGGAGCAAGAACAGGGCCTGTTTTTTTACAATCAGGAAATGGACACAATCAATTTGGACAAATCGCGCAGTAGTGATAGTGCCCTATCGTTGAACAAATTGTGTCTACACCGGGATTCGAGTTAAGACCGCCATATGTTCCTATGTTCAGCTGGAAAACACGTTACATATTGCCCTATCATAAACTAAGACTATCTAACGTGTGAATGTCTCATTTTCCATTTGGATTAGGTGTTTTGTGTTGATGCACGCAACCACGGTGATTCCCCCCACAGTCAAGAAATGTCCGTACGCGATATGGCAGCTGACCTCGTCCGCTTTACAAAAGACAATTCGCTGCCAAGGCTAGTACCTTTCCTTCCTATTTTTATTGATTCTACCCATTGCAAAAATAGCCTTATTCATGACAGATATACTAGATACGATATAGCCGGTAGATCGTACCGATAGAACCGGTGGGTAGATCGTACTTTTTTTCAATCCGCGTCCCCTAGTCGTCGAAATTAATTTCAAATTAATAATAAATTAAATAAAATTAAATCCGGCAAGCATACGAAACCGTAGCAGCTGTGCAACTGGTCGTTTATTCGAGTGTTGAATTTGTTCCGCATTAACGGTTTCAGATGTATATATCTGGGCCATTCTCTTGGCGGGCGGGCTGTAATGACACTTGCGTTAACCCAGGTAAAGCACTATATAAGTGATAATTTTTTATATTTTTGTATTGTACTATGGTCTATCTGAATGAAATTGATGATAGATTGTATTTCAAACGTGACTAAGTGCACCCATTGATATTATGTTAAAGCTGTCAAAAGATGATTACAAAATAGAGCAGGAATATTTATTACTGTTTATTTTCTTCATTCATTTTCTAGCCACAACTCGTCGATAAACTCATCGTAGTAGATATATCGCCGAACGTTCTTCCCAACACTATCAACGGAGAAGCAAAGGTAAAAAAATTGCAGTTTACACTTCGTATTCTTTATATATATTTAGATTTTTATTCTCCTATAATTGTGTCTATAACACACGATTGTGTTGCCTATTGCGGATTAGTTTCGAATTTTAGCACGCCAAATTGGTCGCATGGATAGGCCGGTTATTGGTATCTAAATTTAAGATACCATAACGGAAACATCTTACGTTTATTTAGCAAGGAAATGATCCTCGAAAAGTTAAATGGTCTCTACCTCTCCAATTATGCTTACAGATAGCTCTATTAGCGATGCAAGAGTCTCTAACATATTTAACTCCCGATATGAACATTGCTCAAGCGCGGAGGGCGGCTGACGCGTTCATGGAGCGTACGATTAAGGTCAGTTATGCGTATCAACGATTTTTAATTCTTATGCTACGATATCTATCAAGAACGAAAACAACATTTCGATTTTCGATAAATTATACATTGACTTATATTGGTACGTTCGCTTATAGGGCTACAATTTACGACAGTTCTTGCTCACAAATTTACGGCGTGGTCGTGACCATTTCGAGTACCAGATTAACATATCGGCAATCCAGGAAAACCTCGACAAGCTGCTTCGAATGCCTCCTTTAAAAGGTGTTTTTGAGGGAGATGTACTTTTTGTCCGCGGCGGTACGTTCTCAAACATGCACGTAACACGCAATTTTGTTGATTTCGCACGCAAAACGTGGGGGGCCACAGTTTCATCTGTTACCCTCGATTGCTAATATCTATAATTTACTCAAATCTATAAAACAACGAACAAAAGTAGCGTGAATATTTGTGCATTATTTAATAGATTACTCCCTCTTACAGGTCAATCGGGTTATATCAAGCGGAACGACTTTCCGCTGATCAAACAAATTTTTCCGAAAGCACAGATCGAAACAATTGACAATGCTGCCCACTGGGTGCACGCAGACAAACCTACAGAATTTCTCGATCTCGTGTCTGATTTTATTTTGAAGAAATAGAAAACAAATTAGCTATATTTGATGAAGATCGTGGAACGCCTGCAGTTGATCGAATGTGGAGTCACTGACTGAAATATCAAAGACGCACGACACAGGAAGAACTTCGGAGCTTTTGAGCGCTATGGAATCCGTTGACTATAAGCTAGAGATCGTTGCCTACTTGTTAAAGCAACGAAGACTTTCATATACACACAAACCTTTAAATGAAGGTGATTACATCAGCTGGCAACGGCAAAAACTAATCAATTTATTTAATGATCTCACCGAGATCATTACGACAACGGTTGTATTGCCTATAAGCTCACGGGGGGGTGCCATTGTCATCGCAAGTGAAAAGGTACAGGTCGTAGAGACGGACGACAGCCATAGCACCACCGGAAATAAATAGCGTTGGGCATATTGTTAACCATCCTTCTCTTCTGTTGCACACCACAAACGGTATAGATAAATAGGCAAATGGGTTTTACAAGAAATAAGTTAATTGTTAATGGACTGTTTGTTGTTGTTGATTTCATAGTGGTGCTAGATATGGGACAGCTGTAAAGATTAAAGCGCACCACAGATAGCCTAATAAAGCCCCCGTACTTTGAGTTCCAAACGGGAACCTAGGCAATATAGCTCGCGTAGGATTTATCGAGTGCTGCCATCTAAGCTGTCTGATTTAAGAAGCCACACATATTTTGAGTGGACGACGGGCTGAATTTGATTAATGGAAGATTAATAGTAATATTGTTATTATTGTAATAAAGTATAATAAATAAGTTATATTTAGTAACTGACAACGGTAGTCATTCGTAATAGTTTCACGTCTAATTTATCTTCTACTGAAATTGATGTGGTTATTCAAATGCGCCTTCTGTCATCGCAAATAACGCATAAAGTTAAAATTAGACAAAAATTTTTGGTGTTAATTTCAAAAATATGCACTCTCCAGATAATAGAGACATTCTCGTACAAACTATGTAGCGATGTACCGGTTGATACATTACCATAATTTTACTTCTTCGCGGTATTTTTCTTTTGTTTACTTTTTCCAATCGCTAATACACTGTCTAGCTATTGAACTATCTAATCTCTTACCTTATGTACATTAGTCTGCAATATATCTTATTTTGTATACCTTCAAAGTACATCTCACCTAGGTTATGAGTTTTAGTTAGTGGAGTTCATGCTAAATCCAAAAACAGTGGTATAATTTGCCACATGGTTTTCAAAATTGCATCTCTCCATATCCACACATTTTGAATTTGCTTTAAAAAAAACGCCAGAAAGGGTACACTATGATTAAACAGATGTGCACATCATGCACAACGCGAGGCCCTGGCCAACGATCGCGCGCAGTGCATCAATACATTGACTATACCTTTTGTTTTGTGATAAACTTAAGTTCGCTAGTTTAGTTACACAATTTTAGAATCCGGTACTTCTACTTGTCGTTTATTAAATGCTTACTTCAACAACTCTACTGCAGCTTTTTGGGACCGCATATGGCAATTGAAGCTGAGAGAAGATGAAGTACACACCTATGGGTAAAATTGCTCTGAACAATCTGTGGTGCGAGAATCGAAATCATTCCTGAAAAAATATTTAAAGAAAAATCATTTCAAGTTTGAATGAACAGATAAAAACTAGGTATCATTCTTCTCACCGTTCGTTATTATTAGTGGCTGAATTTCTCGAACGCTGTTTCGTGTCCCAGTGTTTTGACGCCGTCCCTCAACCTAGCATCTTCTTCCAATTATTTGTTATGTTTTGAACTTCGCAGAGAAGAAACGTTCTGGCGTACCCCTAGCTAAGCTTCAAATTGAGTAAAATGTTAAGGGAGAAAACATGCGAAATACAATCGCTGATAGTCCTGTGGTATCGCCCCTGAAGTCTCTTATATCTCTTCTAAACATTGTAACATAAGTCATAATTGAAAAAAAGCAGCTGTTAACAAGGACAAAATATTTTCGGATAAATATGTTTTTATTCTGTTATTCGGAGTCAATTAGGTAATGTTTTCTCTGTCTATTAGGGGACGTATTTTATTTATACATATGGTCTGTATCACCCAAGTCAAATTGCGCTGTACATTTAGTTTGAAAAAGAATTATACTGCTGTCAGTATTGCTTGCTTTCACTGAGTTCAAGGTGACGTTAGCTACTATTGTTAATATTTTTTTCTCCTATATACGATCTTGTTCAGAGTCCTTTGTTTGTTGAATTTTTGTAGTGTACCTTCAGGATGTATCACTACACTTCATCTCATATGACCCAGGACAAAGAAGTTTCTAGGTGGCGCTCAAAATGCTGAAACTAGTTGTTCAGTAGACTAACTGCTTTTATTCTCGTGATGAGAGCAGTAAATTACAGTATAGTTGATTGTTTTTTCGGACAGTACTAAGTGAATTTCAACACTCACTCTAAGTTCTTGATCCTCTTTTATTGGGATAAACAATCACCTAGAAAGATGCGCAAGATCTAGATGCTCTCAGGCCAAAGTCCGACGGTCCGGCGGAACGATATGCTTCATCGGGACGATTATAGCTCCCGGTGCCATGCTGCAGTTTCTGTTAGCATTGCCAATGTTGACTGGCGCCACAGTTCGGTGTAGCTCGGTTCTAGCTCAACAGCATAGCCAAGTGCTAAGATTTCGCCTGTGTGCTTCATCCGTCCGGCGGCCAGTTCACACTTCCCTAGTTTTCTACAAACTCGAAACCAACTGGGGTTCGAAAAAGGTGCGCGAACGAAAACTGCAATCACTTCGAAATATCATGGACCCCACACTCGAAGAGATTTTGGCGCCTCTGCGAATCTCCGTTAAGGAACAGGTAATTTGGTAAATCGTTCAGTAAATCAATGATAGATTGACACTTTGCTGTACCGATCTTACACAGTGTCAGCTCCATATGATAACCATAGGAGTGGAGCTTTGCATCAGTTGTCTGTTCGAGACAACATGAACTTCTTCTGCTATGTAGTCTTCGTTACCGGTCTCCCTGTAGTGCACATGGTAGAAACAGATGATTACTCCGTTTCGTTAGCATTGCTTCATGTACTGTGATAGCTAAGTGTCGAAAATGTCTGAAAGTTAATCGCGGTAATTTCCTTATTGTTTCAGCGCGGCGTTTTAAAATATATTTTGTGATGTACATCTATGAGTCTCCACTCATTTTCTTTCCCGGCTGGCCTTTTCTTTGGACGTAATAAGCTAGGCCATTTAATTGGTTTCTATTTATGACCAGCGCATGCTGCTACAGACAAAAGTCTATGTGAATAAGCGCAAATGACTGAACTCGAATGGGTTAAATATTCTAAATGATGCGATAACTTTAAATGGTGCCTGTTTACGGGCTGTTTATTTGTTTGGCTGAAGTTTATATTGCTGCCATTTGATACGAACTTGAACAAAGAGATCCGTAATCGCAGCCACGTCATTACTTAACACCATTATGCATAATACTTTTTCGAACCATTTTCTGGCTATAAGCCAATAATGTTGGCAGATAATAGGCATCTTGGCCAGACTTGATTCCTAGTATTCAAAAGTGAACAGCGGTAATAAGATCGTATTAAGGAATCAGCTGATCATGTACTTTCAGGCCGCACCTTGATGATATGCAGGCTAGGCTGACAAATGCCGGGTGGGGACTTCTGTTTACTTTTTGTATCTTCACAGTACTTAACTGTAACTTCAAGCTGTAACTTGTAAGGGTAAAACGAAATTAAATAAATGGATTTGTGTAACTCATGCTAACTGTTTCTGTGCTCAAGTTTGGAAGGCACGGGTTTCTAAAAAAAGACGAATAGGAAAAAAATTGGGTCGTTTGAAATCGAAGTATATTATTTTAATAAAGGTATGTGTTTAAGTTGAAACCAAGTATAGAAAAATCAAACCACAACACACGTTCATGGCGATGCTTCACGAGATAACTGACGACATAAGTAAAAAAAAAAACCGATTAGACCCTTATTTGAAAAACTAAGTATAATTTCTAATTATAACAAAAATCTGTACTGCCGGCCTCGATCGTACATTTATGGATTGGTACCTAATGCGTTTATGGGTTAGTCTGTGTGAAAGACATTGTCTGCGAAGGTCAACTATATGTTTTCGTATTTTACATACATACAGTAATGCAGGGTTACTAGTTAGCAGCCTAATGGTCTAACGTAGCTCGTAATACTTCAAAAGAGATTAAAAAAAAAAACTGTTGTTTGATATGATTATTGGAAGATTTTTAAAATTGTGACGAAGTTACTCTTGTAATATATCTGTATATTGTAGTTGAATCCAATTATATTTATAATGCCTTATAACGCTCTTGGGCACAAAGAAGCTTAGTATGGTGTAAGCGACACATGTTATGCTAGTGTAGACATGGGGTGTTTATTGACACTGATCAGCTAAATGCTTTATACCAAATATTTGTTATTATGTAAACAAAGGATTCTATTAACGCGGATATCCTTTCATTCGACCAGTGCTCTCCATTGTTTAACGTTGACAATAAGCTGTCCGACCTTTGCAGGGTGATCTCGTTCGGAAGCTGAAAGAAACAAGCGCTCCGGAATTGGATATCAAAAAGGCCATTGCGGAACTGAAAGCTCGGAAGAAAGTTTTAGAGGATAAAGAACTCTCGCTGTGTCCTGCTGATGCGATGTTCGACCGCACGCGCATGGAGGACCTTCTCAAAAGGCGCTTTTTTTACGACCAGTCGTTCGCTATCTATGGAGGTACATTTAACCTTATTGGGCATATTATTTTCGTATAGTAGGACTTAAATTATGAAAGTCACATATTTTTACGCTGTTTACTACATAGCTTACGGGCTAAGTCGTTTCAAAGACGATTTATAGTTATTCATTTAGGTTCTGAGAAACATCATTAATATTAGTAACAAAAGCTCTTAGCTCTACTGTCACTAGCTAGTACTGCTCGAATGGTGAGTGATCTTTAGTTTCTTTTATCACTGTTATTCATTTTTCCTCATTAGGTATTACTGGACAATTCGACTTCGGGCCGATGGGCTGTGCAACCAAGACTAACTTCCTACAGGCTTGGAGGCGCCATTTTGTCCTTGAGGAGGGTATGCTGGAGGTTGACTGTACTATACTCACACCCGAGCCTGTTCTGAAAGCTTCCGGCCATGTAGACCGATTTGCTGACCTTATGGTTAAGGACGTAAAGAACGGAGAGTGTTTTCGACTTGATCATCTCATCAAGGCTCACTTAGAAAAGTTATCGACCGATAAGAAGACCTCTGCCGAACAGAGAGCAGAGTATGAAGACATCATTATCAAGCTAGACGGAATGAAAAAGGATGAGATGAACGCTGTCCTTCGTAGATTTAACATGAAGTCACCTATTACCGGAAACGATCTAACGGATGCCATAGAATTTAATCTAATGTTTAGTACGCAAATTGGCCCCTCTGGTCTCATCAAGGGTTTTCTTCGACCAGAAACTGCTCAGGGTGGGTTTTCTGCTTTTGCAATTAATTAGAACTACTTACTTGTATTTAACTATTTGAAATACTGCTGGCCCATGACGACTTAGGATGAAAGAATAAATCTACTCAAGACATCAGTACGCGCATGAAGTTATAAAAGACGAAACGAAAATCGATCATTGTGCCGTAACACTTCCGAACTTGTTGGTCATTAATATACAAATGCATGCAAATCTTGGCCTTACCATGCTTGCTATTTTAAGTAATAATTTACTTGATTCGCAGGTATCTTCGTGAATTTTAAGCGATTGCTTGAATTTAACCAAGGCAAATTGCCGTTCGCTGCCGCGCAGGTCGGCTCGGCGTTTCGAAATGAGATTTCACCTAGGTCAGGTCTGATCCGTGTTCGTGAGTTTCAGATGGCTGAGATTGAGCATTTCACGGACCCCACTGACAAGGCCCATCCAAAGTTTGTGAGTGTCAAAGACCTGGAGCTCGTTCTCTATGCGGCCTGTGATCAAATGGACGGTTAGTGTTTTACTGCTAGCAACTCATTCAGCTTTTTTAAACATGGCTCCTAGCCTTGCTAACCAGATCTATCAAAATATATAAGAACACAGAATTATAATTTATATTATTTTAGAGTTGTTTGAATTTTTTAGGTTAAAAAATGAAGGCGTGTTGTCTAAAATAACTGTAACAATGATTTTTTCTCCATTACAGGCAAGGCTGCGCAGCCTGTTCGATTAGGTGACGCTGTGGCGAAAAAGTTGATTGCGAACGAAACTCTGGCCTATTTTCTAGGCCGTATTCATCTATTTCTCGTCAAAGTGGGAATCGATCCTGCACGGCTCAGATTCCGTCAGCATATGGCGAACGAGATGGCCCATTACGCCTGTGACTGTTGGGATGCCGAAATCAAAACTTCATACGGCTGGGTGGAGTGCGTGGGGTGCGCTGATCGGTCATGCTTCGACCTTCAGCAACATAGCAAAGCAACAAATGTGCGTTTAGTGTCAGAGAAACTGCTACCCACGCCAAAGACCGTTGATTTAATCGAAGTGCTTCCACAGAAGGCCGTCCTAGGCAAGGAATTCAAGAAAGAGGCTAAGGCTATCATGGATACTTTGGCAACATTGCCAGAGTCACAGATCGCCGACATTGAGAAGGCGTTTGAAAACGGTGGTACGTTCTCGCTTACATACGCATCTGGTAAACAGGTCGAACTAAGGAAAGACATGATACAAGTTAAACGTGGCAAAAAGACGGTTCACGTCGAAGAGGTGATACCAGCTGTAATCGAGCCCTCATTTGGGATTGGGCGAATCCTATACTCACTTTTTGAGCACAATTTCCGAATACGTGAGGGTGACGAGCAGCGAACATTCTTATCGTTACCACCAATTGTCGCTCCCCTAAAATGCTCCGTTCTTCCGTTGTCGGGAAATGCTGAGTTCGCTCCTTTAGTGTCACGCCTGTCGGATGATTTACGGCTCTGTGACATCTCTCACAAGGTAGATGACAGCGGAGGCTCCATTGGCAAAAGGTTAGAAAATCAATGATGGTTTTACGATGCTAGCGCGATGATGTGATTTCGTAGAGCAATTTGATAGAACATAGAGCTCGTTCATCATACCATGAGAAATGAGTTTGTGTTAGCAGCAAGCTTAAAACGTGGTACAACATACACATAAGCAAAAACAAACCTTTTTAGATTTAAAGCTTTTTAGATATTCTATGTTTATTTAATAACGAATTCTCATTTCTGCAAATAGAAGGTTGTTACGGTCATGTGAGAGAGACGTACAAGCCCAAACATATGTACCCAGACATATGAAGATGCAACAATTTAAATTAGTCTCGTGTATTAAACATCCTTTCAGGTACGCCCGTACCGACGAAATCGCGATTCCGTTCGGCATTACCGTCGATTTTGATTCACTGAAAGAGCCCCATACAGTGACGTTACGGGAAAGGGATTCCATGCAGCAGGTGCGGTGCCCTATCGATGGAGTTGCTAAACTTGTCAGGGACCTTAGCCTCGGCAAGAAAACATGGACAGCTGATGTCGTGCCGAACTATCCAAAGTTCGAACAACAGGAGACCACTTTGGCCCCCCAGTGTTAACTAACGAAACAGCTCCAGGAAGCTTTAGTGAAATGCTTACGATGATTTTGCAAAACTTGCGCTTCGCTTCATTCATACACCACGAGAAGTATTAACTTAGACTATTGTCCCAGTTAAGTTCAAATATGGTGCAAACTCTAAGGATTTCGATGATTCAGTTCAGAGGGCGGGGTCGTACGCTTGATTCTGAATAGCTGAATCTAAAGGTTTGGGTGCACTACACTGGATCTGATTAAGCTAAGCACTTACATAATTCATTACTTCTCTACTTACAAAGAGGTGCTATGCTGTGGACGGAAGCTTGACAAGTATTTAGGGAACGGTTTGATGAATGGATATCATGGAAATGAATGAAACTACATACATATGTAAACTGATATTAGCGCGACAAGGTCGCTATCGCCGCCAGTTCAGACGCCGGACAATGCATCGATTGTGCGAAAACTTATCGAGAAAGCTTATTCTGGTTGTGGTGTCAGAGTGACTGTAACCTCTCTAAGTTACAATCGCTCTGTAACTTTTGTCATGGCTTTTTCTTTGCTGCTACAACAGGAATTATATCCGACGCGTCTGCGAGTGGTAAAAAGGAGAACCTGTGTAACAAACAGTACAAATGGCAGATGAATGAACCAAAAAAATAGATGTATCGAAAGCTTTCCGTGAACGCCGTTAAATTACACTTAAAGTAAATAAAAAAAAAAGTAGAAGTTGCAGACTAACATTACAAAACTGCTCGTGATTTTTTCAAGCATATTTATATTTGGAAAACTGATTAAGTGATGTTTGCATTGATTAATAAACATTTACTTGTAGTTCGAAAGTTAACGTAAGCTTCGAAATTAAGGTAAATTAGCAAGACGTCTTGTTTCAACTTGTATCTGTTCAGGTGAATGTTTGTCCATGTGCACTTACCACAACAGACAGAGGGGTGTGAATATTATACATTTGTGATTGATTACTACATGAACTATCATAATATAGCATGAAGTTTTTTCCATTCCTTTTTTTTGCGTAAATCACGATTATTTGCAGTGTATTTTGCGTCCAAGGGTTTTTACCGTACATTGTTTACGAATGTATTTTCGCTTGGGCTCAGGCAGCATGTTCGATCAGCAGCCTTGGGGCGTCAAGTAGCATACATCGATTTACGTGAGTGGGTAGCTGTTGTTGATCTGGGTTGTAATAAGTGCTAATTCCACATTAGCATTAAAAGCGCCTAAGATTAAGTTTGGTGGGCACAACATTCATTAGATAAAACAAACATTACTAATATATTTTCGATTCTCAATCAATAGGATACGATAAGTTAACACCGCACTTCGATGAATGTTGCGTGTCGTCGTTTACTCACAGCAGGTGGCCAGTTTATTGCAGAGTATCGAAAGCAAATAGGTTTGTATACGTTTAGCTGTAAGATCAAAATCAGATGAGACGCATTTGCATTCAATCTTAGTTGACTTTTGTTTGACGCACATAAAAATGACACTTACAAATGATGACCCTATCATATTCTAGTTTCGGCGTTATCTTCTTTTTTTCATTATCCCTGTTAGAGGTATATGTATATATCAGGCTAGAGATCTACAAGCCCGTTGCGATAGTGCTGCTATGCTACCTGACACTAAAACTTCTCTCCGTTGCTGGATCTTAAATTCCATTCATATTCGCGACGTTCGCTATATTATTATTATTGGTAACAATAATTTCATAGTAAACCACCGAAACCTTCTAAAAATCGAACTAAATAATTATTTACAATTCTAATTACGAGGTTCTAGTGAAGGTATGACGTAATCTTGTTATTGACCTATTCATTTTGTTATCAACGATATTTAGATAGCATCTTATAGGCCACGCAGCTGATTCAAATCGTGTGCTCGTTGTCTAAATAACAAAATCTACCAGAAACAGAAGAAGTTCTCAGGTTTGTCCTCTTAGAATTTTCAATATGAACCAATATCTTCTGTATAACTCAATATTTATCGTTCGAATTTGTTAGAAATTAATTAGAAAACAGAATTTATCAAGAAGTATGTCTTATAGTACATTGATAGATAAGCCTAAGATAGATAAAGCAGATAAGACTAACGTCTTATCTAATGTACTACACATGCATTTTAGGTGTTCTTGTTCCTATCACTTTGAGACCTAGAGCCAATAGAAACTAGTAAGTGAATTCATAAGTTATTTATTGGAGTCAAATCCCCACTCTTTCAACAATGTCTAATCTAAACGAACGAGACACATTTTGTGTTTACGCGATGTTAAACGCTATAGAAGCACACCTCTCAATAGTTCATTCAAGAGCTGTCTGATCCATATGATTTTATATAAACGGGCTAACCAAAAAGTCAACACTAGCACAATTTTGTTTTTGAGTTTTCATTTTGTGAGTGTTTCAATGGAGACCTCTGTCCTCTGAGCCCGGATTGTGACCGATTCATTGCTTTCTCTTCGCCATGTCAGAAACGACCTGTATTGAGACGAAAACAGCTTTTATTGTGGGTCGTAAGTCAATCCGTACGGACCGTATTTGAGAGTTCCGGATTCTGACTGCTTCAGACATTCATCTGGAATTTGATCACCGTTCGAGTGAAAGGCGTCTGGACTCATTAAATACACTTGAGGAATCACTGCAGGTCGTGCTATTGGCAGGTAATCTATTCCACACGAATGGGCCACCCAAAGGGGTACTGAAGGAGGCAATGAAACTTCTACGAAAATATTGCTTTGGCTATAGAGAGATCGATTTCGAGCTCACATCAGATCAAAGCAAAAACTTTGCTGATTCGGATATTCCTCTCGTCAATTACGAAGACCCAAACGTTAATGTGAGTTTGCCAGTTTTTCCGATCCATGGCAGTCATGACGGTCCCGTATCATTCTATCGAGAAAGCGTTGCAAAATTCTTGTCCACGGCTGGACTCATTAATTACTTCGGTCATATAGGCAAACGAAATATAATCGAACTTGAACCGCTACTGTTTAAAAAAAATCGACTAAGGTTGTTGTCTGTGGTCTAGGATCGATGAGAGATGACCGTCTAAGTATTCTATTCTGTAAAAATCGCGTTCGGTTTCATTGGCCGGAAGATTCTAAACGGTGGTTTGAAATTCTGGTTTTGCATCAAAATAGAGTAAAACATTGGAAGGGAGATTACATATCAGAAAGCTTTCAGCCTGCTGAACTCGACCTGGTCGTGTGGGAACACGAAAGGGAGTGTTTCACGGATACTCAATTTAATGGACGATTTCATGTAATACAGTCTGGAAGCACTGTGGCGACGACATCCCATTACAGCGAACTGGCTAATAAATACGTCGGAAAACCTCGCGCAGAGTCTAAGGGAGACAATAAGAAGATCAACTGTTTCGAGCCAGTTCTTCTGTCCACGGTGCGTCAACTGTTCGTGAAGGATATTGTGCTGCCTCAGATGTTACCGGAAAACGACCAGATACGGGACCAGTTGGTCAGATTTGTTGAACAGCATATCGAGAATATAATTAAAAAGGCTACTGGGATGGGAAGGGGTCACTTGAAGCAGCCCCTTAAACTTCTAATTAGGCTCCGCGTGTATTACGGTCCTGACCACGAAACATTTTGCATTAAAGACAAAGTCGCAAACTCTGGTGACTGCCTCCAATTTGTGCGCAATAAAATGTTATGGTCTCAACAGATTGGTAAAGACCATATCGATTAGGTAACGTTTAAAGAAGTCCATGGAGAGCAAGCATATACCAACGTCAAAATTGAAGACTACTTTAATTTGTATTTCAAAATCGCACGTGAAGATAAAAACCGATTGCATGTGCTTCACGAAGATGCGTTTGCTCGAGCCATTCAGATGGCAGCCAATGGGGATAGTCGTCCAAAGAATATTGTACACAACCTAAACGCCTTGTCGAGACTACAGGCTTGCAATTGGCTTAACCGAACTGTGGATGAAGCAGCAAATGAGGCGTGCATTATGACGTATTACAGAACGCCAAACCGATCCTCGTAGTTTAGACTTCAATTTACAAACAGTCATTCACGAGCTTGCGAGAACGTCCGATTGCATCAAAGCAGAGTCCCATATTGAAGCCGTGGATGAGTGCCTACGCATGTCGGCATCCACGCGAACCACCTACCACGGACCAATGACCCGATCGGGTGCCAGAAAACGTCAAAGGGCAAAAACTACACATACGACACGAAGACCTACAATTATTGTAGATGAACCTGAATACATAATTATAGAGGACAGCGACGAAGATAACCGATGTTTACAGCCAGCCAAGAAAATTCGCCCTGATAACGAAGAACGTAAAAAGAGTTTTAATGCAACCGTATCCACAGCAACCATTGTTACAGAGGCGGAGAAATCGGTACAGGATGTGAGAAGCGAAAAAACTGAGGATAGCAATGACCTTTTCTACAGCTGTAGTCAGAATACGCAAAATGACAACAACGGCTATCTGACCGCTCGAAGTAATAGCGGTAGCAGTAGGTGTAGCGGCGAGCCTGCGCACGTTTGTAATGAACGCAAACTTGCATTTATTACAAACATGCCAAAGGACCAGCGTTATTCGTCTAATCCTAAATCGATTCTGACGTCAGAAACAGGAAAGACTATGCTTCCTTCTTTTTCATCAACATTAACTGTAACTAGGAAGGCTAAATCATCTGGTGCATGAAAACAAAACAATCAAATACTAACCATTTTAAGAAAATTCTTGATGCTTTGAACATTAATTGGATGACTATTTTTCGAATGTTGCAAGGGAAGCACAAGTTGAATAAAGCTTATTAAATAGTTCGATAGTACTTGTGATGCCAATGATATAAAAACAACGCAGAATGCTGTTGATTGGTCAGTGTCTAGCAAATGGTATGATTATCTAGCCTGTTACTCTTTTAGGTGTCCATTTTACCATGACAATTTATTTTGCGGCACGTTCAAACAAGTACTAAAGTTGCAGTCCTTTACCTTATTCAATGCCGACTGTGTGAACACGCTATGTCCTATGTATGCAATGTACATAGGACTGTAGACAATAAATAAATACATAGAGGTTTTATCACTCTATGGCCAGTCCTGAATATGTCCCATTGGATTTATGTATTACTCGTTCACCTGGGATGCGATTTTCAACTGGGTGGAGTATTTTGATATATAATTCAAATAATCTAAATTGTGCTTCTAACTAGATCCATTAGGACATCATGTTAAAAATTACCGACGATTCGGTAAAGGACGTTTCAAACCCTCCAAAATACATTTTGAGCGCCACCGATACGTTCGATCGTTGTTTGGCCCACAGGGCGTCGAAACCTTTGAATGAACACAGTCTCATGAAATCGATGACTCAGTTAAGGCGCAAATTTGATACATCGTAAAATGTAAAACATTAGCTCTCTATATTTAATTAAAATTGTAAGTATTGCGGGCCTCTGTAAGGATAATTTTTTGGGAAAGGGTTAAATTAAAGGGCGAGAGTAAGTCGGTGTTGTTTACATCTGTGCGCGCGCTCAACCAGTACCAACCACGTTCAAAACCCTTGGGAATTAATAAATCGACACCTGTTAACCAGATGTGAGTGGATATGCTTTCCCTTTGCAGGCAATTAAAATACTTTGCATCCTGTTAACACCACTAGAAAGGTTTCTTCCTCGTCGTACAATTTCATGGCGTTCGGTGTTGGCCCAGTTGTTTTGTAGAAACAGTGATCGAGAACCCTTGCTGTGATTTCGTTGCTGTGGAAACGTAATCTCATCGAAGCATCTGCGCCCACCTGCAGTCGTTGCATGTGAACAAGATTATGAGAAGAAGTTAGCGATATGTCGTCAATAGCTTCATCGTTTACTGCGGATAGTGAGCCGTGTAATGTAAAGGCTTCAGGAGATCCTCGTGAATTTCGAATTCTAATTGCGTCGGACATCCATCTCGGTTACCAGGATCGTTCAAGTGAACGTCGACTCGATTCTCTGAATGCGTTTGAAGAATTACTCAAAATAGGAGTCGAAAAACAAGCGCATTTCGTACTATTTGCTGGCGATTTATTCCACGTCAACGATCCACCAAAGTGGGTGGTCAAAGAATCAATGAGATTGCTACGAAAGTACTGCCTCGGTGACAGAGATATTGATTTTCGGCTTACATCGGATCAAAGCAGAAACTTCGCCGATTCAGACGTTCCTATAGTGAATTACGAAGATCCAAATATTAACGTAAGCCTGCCTGTCTTTACGATTCATGGGAACCATGATGATCCTGTTGGCGTACAGCATGAAAGCGTTGTGAAAATCCTCTCCACCGCTGGACTTCTCAACTATTTTGGCCGAATCAATGACCTTAGCAGTATCGAACTTGAACCATTGTTGTTCGAACGGGCGCGTACTAAGATAGCAGTTTATGGGCTTGGGTCGGTCAGAGACGAACGTTTGAACACACTATTTCGAGAAGGACGAGTTCGCTTTCGCTGGCCGGAAAACTCCGAACGTTGGTTTAAGATTCTGCTAGTGCATCAGAATCGGGTAAAGCGCGGGGCTGGAAACTATTTACCGGAAAGTTTTCTGCCCGCTGAGCTAGACCTAGTCGTGTGGGGTCACGAACACGAGTGCCTTATCAAACAGCAATTTAATGGCCAGTTTCATGTCGTGCAGCCCGGAAGCACCGTGGCTACTTCGTTATGTCCCGGTGAAGTGGCTGCCAAACACGTTGGAATACTCCGTGTGCAGTACAATAAAGCTGACAAGATGGCTAAGTTTGACCTCGAACCCGTTAGGCTCTTGAGCGTACGCCAACTATTCGTCGAAGATGTGTCATTATCGGATATGCCGAAAGGACCTGGCAGTAGACTGGACCGTACTGTCCATTTTCTACAAGATAAGATCGAGGACATCGTTGAGAAAGCGGTGGGTCTACGAACTGGCCATCCGAAACAGCCACTCAAGCCACTAGTCAGATTACGGGTGCTTTACGGGCCCGACCACGAAACCTTTCTGCCGCACTTGGTTGGAAGGCACTTCAAGGACAAAATTGCCAATCCCGGTGAGTGTCTCATCTTCACACGTGACAAAGCTTCATGGAACCGTGAACGTATTACGGGTCAAGTTGATGAGGAAAAATTTATGGACGCCATTGAAGAGCAGAAGAACAGTCATGCTAAAATTGAAGATATGATCAATATGTATCTTAAAAGTACCACTGCAGAAAATACCCGGCTACATGTTGTCCACGAGGACGCCTTTACTAAAGCTATCCAACTCTCCATCGAAAAGGGTAACCCCAAGGATCTCATTCATAAGTTGCTTGATTCATCTAAAAAGCGTCTTCGCCAGCGGCTGGAACGGACAGAGGATGCCGTGGATGAGGTAAGCATGATGCAGTGCATTACCGAATGTAAGCTGGAGAAAAACGATGATCTCGACACCGATGTACGTGCGATTATCAAAGAGTTGGATAGCTTGCCTGGCAACGTTAAGGTCGAGCAGTATATTGACGATACTGAAGAAGACGGAATGCCCCCACCTGCACATGCATCATCAGGCCGCGGCAGAGGTCGAGGTCGAGGACGCGGCAGAGGAACAGCATCTACCCGAGTTGTTAAGGACGAACCTGCCTCTGTTATTGAAAATAGTGACGAGGATGACGATGCCTTTGTGAAGAAAACAAATTTCCAAGGCATAGGGCGTGGCAAGGGACGCGGAGCTGCTTCATCCAGGAAGAAGGAGGAAATTATTGAGGACAGTGATGACGACGAAGACGATTTCAGGAGCTTTATTGATAGCACAAGAAAACGTGGCTGTAGTGATACTAATAATGGGCAGCTTCCGGCGACAAAAAACACTGGTAGGGGTCGACAAGCAACAATAGATAGTTTTACCAGTGCTACATCTTCGAAACGGACACCGAAAAAGCGGGCACCCAGTTTATCTCCAGACGACGATGACGGTGACTTGGGATCCGCAAGTGTAATTTCGTCATCGCTTCCGTCATCTGCGGCTGGTCGTATTACGAGCCAGAGTCGATCGCAGCGTCAGCCAGCGGCGAAAAAAAGTAAAAAACAAGACGTCGTAGATCTATTTGACGGATTCGACTAGATGTGTAACACGCGTACCTAAAAGTAAAAGCCTAAAATCGCCGGGCTGATCTTGAAAATCGGCAAGTATGTATTTATAATTGGTAGCGAGGGAAAATAACGCAATCGTGCGATTCCTCTAAGGGAGGAGGAGAGGACATTAACAATTCTGAACGAAAGTGTCGCTAAAACAATACCATAAAAGCTTTGTACATTATGGTACAGACCTTGCACACTTTTTCGTGGATGTAAATTATACATTTTAGACCTATTTGAGTACCTTTTCAGTAGCTTAACGTTATATGTATTAGTTCGTAACGGACACGTCCGATTGTTAGTGACGTCGTTCAGAGGAAGCTTGACATCAACAATGGCTCAAGAGTGAGGAAATTTTGAATAAAGAATATACGATATGGTCTCCTAGTTACGATAATCTTTTTTACTAACGCTATATACGCACTTATGTCTTGTGACACCACGGAGTTCAATTTAAGTATAACTTGAGATTAGACAGTGCCGCTAACTACTTTAGTATGATGCTGTGATCTCTTCTTCAGCTATCAGGTATAATAAACTAAGTGAGCATAGACTGAGTAAGAGCGACTAAAATACTAACGCTAACAACGTGAGACTCTGATTCTTTGTTTAATAATGACACCACGAGGAATTTACGCATGACTTTCTTTGACAGTGATGATATGAGTACGATGCGATAAGGAGATACGGATTTTATAAATCCGTAAACTTACGTAAAATCAAACAGTTCGAGTGGCTCTTAATAGGAATTTGAAAAGTTCAAGTGTACTAAAGGTATTTTTGTATATGCATATACAAGTAAATTGTTAGACAAATATGCACAGTACAACAAGGTATATTTCTCGTAGACCGTGCATCCTCCTTCTTTCTACCCCTTAACTAGATTGTACTCTCTGACAAAATAAATGATAATTAAATTTTCTATCCATTATCGTTGGAGTAATTGTATGCGCATGTGGAATTAGGGCAATCTACTCTAGAACCTACTCCAAGCATTCACCTATTCTAATTTCCTCTGATCAGTTACTTCTTCTGCAATCGACGCCAGCTATATATAAGCTATAATGACGCTAACTTCATATGATCATTATCACGAGCAATTCTGCATCCCAGGCAGCACAATATTGGTAGATAAAAACAGAAAGAAATCACTGAAAACGGTCACTACCTTGCCAAGCAACGTATTCAACTGGTCAGTGACTTATAATCTATATTTGGGAATTACACCGATTTGGATAGACGACCTGGTCTTCGATTAACACATACATTGCACGGCGTCCAACAGTAACTGGTTTTATGCTATTTACAGCTTTGTAGCTTGGCAATACGACATTTCTTCGTCTAAACCATATACAGCAGATATTTTCTACTTAATACTAATCATCTTGATCTGCTGAAGCCACAGAGATACTGATCGTCCCTGATTCATTGACCGAGGAATTCTGCCCTTGAGGAACCTGAAAAAAAGACAAAACGGACATTCCGAACTGCGTAAAAGGGTAGACACAAGTTTTACGAACTCATTGAAAAAGAAATCTACGCTCAACATGACTCTTCCGTGAACTAGATGTGTAATCAATTAATATCTATAGGATCATGAAGCGCATAGTTCTCCTATATAAACTAAAGGTCTCCATTCACCTTGGTCAACTGAGAGATGTGTCGCAAAGATTTGAGAAGAAGTGGGCGGACGCTGTTAAGCTCCATCATTGTGAGGTGATCCACCTGAATAGCAAAGAAAGGCACGGAACACCGTTACTGACTATCCTAAAATAATACTGAGTCGTCCCATTTTTTGGTTAATTGCATTATCTTACCGAGCTTTACACTATACCAGGTTACAAAAAAACAGATTATTCGGCATTGTTTCACGTTTAATGTAATCGTGGCTGGCCGTATTAGCCTTCCAAGACATTACTAGTTTAGCCTTTGTCAAATGCGTAGCTGTTTGCTTGCCTGGGCATGAACTTGGTCACTTTTGATAAAAACATCTGTAGAAGCGCGCAATTTAGCCAGCCGAATATCCCATAAGTCCTTGACAAGAGTTTGCACCTCTTCAGCCTGTGGTAGGTCCGAGCCTGCCACGTCGACAAGTAAGTGCGTGATCTGGAAGGCATTTTCAGACAACATGTTGGTATTGGCAGACAATATGTAAAATATGACCTGGCTATATTAAAAACCGATTGACTCTGTCCCATGTACGGTTAAATTTAAACTTGCGCGCCATGTTTACACACACACATACACAGACGCACACAGATGTATTCCATAATTTAACAATAAGAAAATAAAAATCTATCAATAGAAAGCTGGCGTTCGATAAAATTGGATAAACTCATTCATAAGTAGCGGCAATAACAGCAGTAATAAAAGTTGCTGGGAGGCAGCTGGTCAAAGCGACGCTTAGCAACAGCAGCGGACGCAATATTTGTAATTTCCATTTATTTTAATAATGAAATAATAATTAAAGGATTAATTAAGAGTAGGGTTTGCGAGAAGATTGAAGGTTTTCTGTTACCTCCCGGTAGTGCTCTGTGGGGATCTTTGTGAACACCTGACTCTCTTTCTCTTCCTGTTTGAGCCGTTCCAGCTCGGCGACATTCATCCAATCCGGAGGAAGAATTCGACATTTATGCTGCTGGCGAAGGTTAAGTGCCGCCCATAACGGCACCGAAATGGGCATACCGGCCATAAAAGGACCCAAATCGCCTATAGCATAATATGCAGTAAACGAAAAAGAATGTGTATTATCAGCAAATAAAATTTACACATATACACATGCCGTGTAGACCCTTCATATTTTCGTGAGACCGATGTCAATATAGAGTAAATTCTAATTGTCGAGAATCAGTCTGTTTGCAACTTGTTTAAATATTATCAGTGCAATACAAGTGTTTTACTAAGATAGCATTTGTATATTTCTAAATATGTTTACGCTTAGTTTCAACAAAGTTGTAAAAACCTACAATAATATGAATGATATATTAACCTCGTACGGTAAAAATGCACAACTTTTTCAAGCTTTTATAACTTTTAAATGAAGACAAATGCACTTCAAATTGTCAATTTTTGGATATAACAAGGGTCCAGAACATGGGATCCCTTCATCTTAAATTTTCTGTATTTCTAGAACAGCGAATTACAGCAGTGAGCACAACAGTTATTTTTAACATTCCTTATTATTGAACCTCTTCCTCAATGTTTCCTCTTGCGCTTTAGTATATAACTTTATTGGCGTTACTACTATTTACTAGTGGCTTGTATGGCATATGGAAACGATCATATGGAATCACTGCGAGTGCTTCTATATCAAAACATTCCTACTAACCAGAGATCAGGTGAATAGCGGGATGGTTAAACTTCGGTACTATTTTCACGTTGTAGCACTCAGCGATAAATTCTACTTCAGTGGTCTCCATCTTTATATGCGTAACGCGTATTTATTTTGTTTATATTACGTTGTTTTAACAGTACCTGGATAAAATGTTCTATGGCGCCAAAAAATTTAAAACCGAAACCACTGGAACCGTGAGGATAATTTTTAATTATCCTCGTTTCTTATGAGTTCTCATCAAAACTAAAAATTACTTTAGTCAAACTCATCAACCAACTGACATGCTTAACCTTATTGTTGAAAAGTGCATCGTTTAAATGAGAATATTCTGAGAAAAAACAACATCATTAATTTCCACCCTCCCCACGAGCGATTCCCTTTCGATAAATGATCAGCAGATCACTTCCTTTTTTGCTGCAGCACTAGCTATGAAGGGATCTAAGAAGCTCGCTGGAGGTATTCAATTTGACAAACTTTAAGTGTTTTATCTATTTTTAGGTGTGATTGCTTGCCGTCATGCATTATCTGCGCCTTTGGGATTTTGTGCGAGTACTTTGTGAGAGCATGTGATCATTTCTATTCGAGCTTTTATGTGTCTATATGGTGTACGGCACGTGGCAAAGGGGTCGTTGCTAGTTAATTACTTTGAAATGGGCGGAGATAATCAACCGTCGAAAAAATCTGGCGACGATTGTGGCCGTTTATAGCCTCCGTGGCGTAACTCTTTCTCTGAAGGTGTTCAAGTAGATAAAGTGTTGGGGAACTGCAGTTGCTAATGTAAATGTGCGAAGTACCTGGTTTGATAACCTATGCCGCTTGTCAGCTTCGAAAACAAAGCATGGCCGCATTGTAAACAATTACTTTAAGTAGATTAATGCTCCTATTATTAAAGCTACGTATGTATCAGTTACATTTCTTTATTACCAGTTCATTGCAGAATTGATGGTATGAAGTGTTATATTTCTAGCGGTGGGAGTAGCTTCTGTTGTGTTTGATTGGTCTGTGACATATTTGCGTACCCCCTAAGACAGACTTGACCGAGCGATTCTTCCAAACAAAAGGGAGGAAGTTAAAATATTACGGAAGTAACAAAATCAGTTTGCCAATATATTTGAAAATACATAGCGTCTGTTAAAGCTCTCGCTGACAGAAGCGTGCTTACATGTCTCGCATGTCGTCGCCTTGTTATGAACTTGTAAGGAATAACTTAATTCAACCCAGTACAAGGCCGCTAGATGTTGCACGTGCTCCTTGAATATGTGTTAGAATTTTAAGTGTTATTTGAAAGCTGCCTTAATATGACGCATTATTTGCATTTCCAGAGAAAGCCGCAAAGGCTCCTGTGGCCAAGACGGAAGAAAAGAAAAATGCCGCAGCCGAAAAAAAGGCAAAGAAGGCCCGAGTAAGTTTAGCTAAAGAATCGTATATAGGTACAAATTCTTGAGTATCTTAAACTGTGTTTATCCACCATGCATTAGGCAATAATTTGTTTAAAATGCAAGAAGAATATCGGACAAGCCGTCCACGAAGAAATGACATTTCCTCTAGATGTACTTATTATTATCGTAACCTACCGAAAAATGTCCATTGCAACCTTACCTAGCGATTTTTGAAACCTACATGGTAGTTAACCATACCGATGATTTCCGCTGTTTTTGGTGCTGCAGGTTAAGGTTATCAAGGGTCCCCGTGGCTCGCACATCCGTAAGGTGCGGACTTCCACCATTTTCCGTCGGCCAAAGACCGTGAAACTTCTGAGGAAGCCGAAGTTCCCTCGCAAGACTGCCACTAAAAAGGTAACGATGGACAAGTTCTCGATCATTAAGCATCCAATCAACACGGAGTCGGCAATGAAGAAAATCGAAGACAATAACACACTGGTGTTCATCGTTCACATCAGGGCCACGAAACACCAGATCAAGACTGCCGTCAAGCAATTGTATGATATCAAAGTATCCAAAGTGAACACTCTCCTGCGACCCGATATGAAGAAAAAGGCGTACGTTCGTTTGACCGCGGATTATGATGCTCTCGATGTTGCCAACAAGATCGGCATTATCTAAACGCTTTATGCACCAATGTGCGTTGTCCTATTTCTGTGCGTCGTTTAAAACCTGTACGCTAAACTAAGAAAAATAAAGGTCTGCACTTAAGGCAAAAATGAATATGGTTCGTCTTTTAGATAGAGATATATTAAACATTTTGTAGAGAGTGTAAATACTATATCTTAACAGTGGTATGATGTGTGAATAAATATTTATGTGAATTAGTGGGTAATGACATCAGGAAAGTGGTGTAGTTACTTTGGTTGGCGGCTTGAAAAGAAACGTTCGAATTAAAAACCAGGGCGTTCATATACCATGACATGGCTTTCAAGCAATATAGTTATCTTTAATTGTGTGAGTTCCTAGCTGCGAAAACGGTGTGGTTTTCCGTAGTCGTCACGTATTAAACAGATCAAACTTCACCATTCTGGTAAGGCAATTGTTATAGAACCTCGATGTATTGCAAATGTGTGGGCAATATAAAATGTTGTTGAAAGATGTTGAATTAGCGTGAAACTAAAATTATGAAATGACACACAATGAGTTTTTACTGATGATATGCTAATATAGTTAGTTTAAAAATGCAATAGGAGCAGTTAAGAAATCTTTCAACTCTATGCCAGACGTATTAGCTTTTCTGTGGCTGCAGCTCAGAATACTTGGGATGCATCATGCCCATACGCCTTCTTTTATAATATGACGCCATTATTTGTATTTCAGATACAACGATAATTGGCGAGCTAGTTAGTGGCCCTCGATTTTCTCATATTCCATCTTTATATTGTATACAGCCGTAATGTCTTGCTAATGGACAAACGGTTTTAATGAACCTGTTATTAGTGGAGAACCTCATCTGCTGCGCTAATTTTAAGAATTAATAGTATATTTGCTGGGCTTGAGCGAGCCATTCTCAAAACTAGGTTTCTCGACTGAAGTTCTATGGACAAAATATAGGGTTGCAAAGAATAGCTTTACTTAAAAAAAATAATTTCAACGATAATGATTGGTGTAGTTTATAGACAATTGATATTAAAATTACAATCTGGAGATATATAACATGTATTTGTTATTATTATGAAATTCGAAACGTAGTTTGGACATTTTGTAAAGTACTCTACTTTGCAATCGTTCAAAATTACGGCGCAGTGCAATCGCATTGTTTCAAATTAAGTTTACATCACTTGCTGTAACTTACTACTTACACTTTATACATACATATATATGTATATATATATACTGTTAGCACCAGTAACAACTGACGTGTCCTCGTGGCCTAATGGATAAGGCGTCTGACTTCGAATCAGAAGATTGCAGGTTCGAGTCCTGCCGAGGACGTGTATTCGTTTTTGTATTTCAACGAAATTTCGGCTACAAGGTTATTTTGTTTTCTTAATTGTGTTGTCCCTGTGTACGTCATTTTTCTTGCATAAACCTAATGCTGCATATTATAAAGAAGATTATCTGAAAGAGGTTTACTTCCTAAATTTTGACATTGCCGGAAAGTGGGTGAAATAAGAACGATAACGATTTAAAGAATTGTTGCTAAGTTCTACAAAACAACTCTATCATGATTTTGAATTTTTTGGTCCTTAACCTAATAGTGACAACTTCCTGCTTGCAGTGAGCTAGGTTATTTTACTGCGCCAACAAAGATCGTTGCATATTAATAAACGTAGTTAAAAGAAACGTTAGAACCTTGTGTAATTTCAGCTTTGCATATAAACTTGTTTACATTGTCCCTGACTCAATTAACGGGAAAATAGATCCCGTCCATATGCGGTTAAATAATATCTACTTTTACATAAAAAGTGATGTAATACAAAAGTAAATTAATATTTTTTTCACATTCAAGCTTTATTAATGTGTAAATATGTATAAATATATAAGTACGCGCCGGCATTCTTTAACTAGGATAGCTTTAGCATTTCGTTTCTATTATACAGCACGAAGGCTTACTAGAAGCGTATCTATTGAATACTGTATTATTAATAGTTTGTGTATCATGATGCGATTGCCATCGCATTAAATTAATTTAGGTCACAATAGCACGTTACGTTACTAAATTTTACAGACAAGGAAACAAGTTGCTCGAACGAGTGGCACAAAAAGATGTCGGAAGTTCTCGAAAGCATTAGATCTTCCAACGTCAACGTCAAATATGCACACAAGAACACTGGTCCCGGTTTTTTTGATTGATTGCATTTGAACATGGTTCGGCACCGAACGAGCGAGTAACAGCGATGCTGAATTTTGAACAAATAGCATAAATTAGAACTTACAATTAATATATAAATCATCATACGATAGTTATTCTGCTGTAATTCTGCGATTACTGCAGGCTATCCTTAGGTATTGATACTGGTAGTGCAGAATTTTAAAATTTATAGTCATTTTTTTATATATAACATTTTACGGAGCATTTATACTGATTTATTCTATTTTATAAGTGTCTGCTTTTAAGATTCGGCTGCGTAAATACACCTACTGGTAGTTACATGTACTCTAACAAGTACTGCATAAATTTGCACAGCTTTTAAGCGTATACACTGACTGTGGTATAGCGCGACATTTACTTTCGTTGAACGCCGGGGAGAATCGCGTATATTATATGAAGTAATCTGCATACTTTATTAACCATAGACCTGCTTTAACCTCTAATTACTTCGTGGTACGAAAAAAAACATTCCTCTCATAAGTCTAACTACGCAGCGCAGAGTTCAATGGAAATTTATCTCTCCGCCTGCTTTTTGACAGTAGTACTTTATATACTCCTAACAGAACAAGGTTTGAAAAAAGCGGGCCTAATCATTTCTTCTCTCTTCCAGTGAACTCTATTCGCTTTTCAAGATAATTGAACTATGGCTCCATAGAGCGGACTACCATGGTATCCTTAGTGATTTTATGGCTTCAAATAATATGACTATTAGCATTAATATCTCCACGGAATAAACAAAATGTTCTTACTTGCAGACTTGAAGTTTAAGCTACAGTGTTATCACGCTCGGTAAATGAAGTGTTCTTGTGGCATACGTCTTGTCCTGTCAGATAAATTTCCCTACAACAATGACTTGTTCTCAAGTTGTGGTGCAAGCATTGATGGCTTATTCTTGTATTGAAGATATCTTACAAAGTAGCTAAGAACAGCGTACATATTACACTAGGACAGCCCATTCATTGCTATAGTTGGTAGAACAAATAAAATCATCTTATGTACAGTCTGAAATGAATATAACATTGCACACAATATAGCATTTAAGCATGTCACTTTTCCCACTGGGAATCGACAAATGATAGAATGCTATTATGAGATAATTCTGTCTGTACAACACCTTCGCCAAACCAAAGAGTTGCATACGTCGAAGCGTTCAAAGTCATCAAAGACCCCTTAAAGCGTGTGCTCTTGGTCCACAACTCAAGTTAAACTAATGTTTACGCCACAGTGTGGTTGATGATTGATACTTGTTCCAAGTACAAATCTGTCTTTTTGGCAAAGGAATCAGGCCGCACGATTCTTGCATCATACTTAAGTGTTTTTCTAAACGATTTGAATAACTTACCATTTTCACGAGTAATATTTCTTAATATTAATATTAGAGTAATATACATCCATATTTATGTTGAACGGTGTAAACTAGTCAATCAACTCTGGCTATTTTTGAGACAAAACACTACAATATGCCGTTTAAGAAGAACTGTCCTTCATCCCCTTCTGAGTCGCAGTACACAATTGAATTCGTATATATATGTATGTATATATATATATGTGCTGACGCCTGATGCTCCGAAATTGAGCATCTAACATACTATGTAATGATAACGTGTTCCGAATTTTACCGGAAATTCAAAAATCACACGACGATATCACATAGCAATGTAATTAGTACATTGCCAACATCCAATTAGGGTATATACATCTATAATATCATTGTAACATTGAAAGTTTCTTGTCACAATCGAAACTTTCGTCATATGCGCTGACGCACTAACATTAGGCACAATTGCGACCTCATCGATTTATCTTCCTGTAGCTAAACTCTGTTGAGGTTTTTTTTATTGATTATAGATTTACACTCTCGAATAATCCACATATATAGACTCTATAGACCGGCAATTTTAGGTTGCCAAGAGGCAAATCTCTTCATTTGGCCAGGACTATCCAAAGAGACCAGCTTTCGCTAATCAGCCGATATCATTCCATTGAGTAAGACCTGCTGGCCGTGAGCAAGGATCGCTCCGTTCGCCGTGGGTAGCATCAACTCGATGAAAATGGGTTTATGTGAACTGACGGTGCCGCCCCAATGCCATGGACCTATGCAATAAATCCGCTACCATACGTAAGCACATGAACTTTCGTCATCCAAAAAAAACAAAACAGCCAAATGCCAGGTTCAATTTTAATCATTTCCATCACTCCAAGCACTTCTATCAAGAAGAACATACTCTACCGATGCAACTCCTGCGGTTGTTCTCTGCGAAAAATCTTTTGTCCACAAAATCAATCAATAAGCGTATGTAAAAAATGAATTAATAAAACCATACGTAATTAAAAATCTTTTGATGATTTGTAATACGTATGTATCAGTAGTGCTATAGATTTATAATCGCCGCCGCTACCTAAATGACATTTCACTTCAGGGAAACGATCTCGCTCAAATTATAACAAGTACTACCTTTGGGTATCATCGGATGCATGAGGCCACTTTGGATTGTTTCGGCTTCGCTACTACGGCAAAGCGCTCGAGCTCCTGGTGAACACCACACGTGTAGATGTTCATGTAAAAGGTGATCCCGACTGGCGATCGGATGTAGCAGGTGGAAGCCGACACGGGCCAACTCGTCTAGCGCTACAAGAATCGAGTAGAGTAGCACAGAATATACTTGCTTAGTTGAATCTTTTGTAAATTCAACCCTTTCATACATGCTTTATTTATGCTTTTCGACTTTCAGGCTACAGGTTATATTTAGGTTGGTTGTAGTTTACCTTCATCGGTAGCCGAGGTGAGGAAGTTTCCACAAACTACAACATTATCTGTTTGCCCTAGCTCCGCGGCAAGGCGTTCAACGAAAGAGGGCAGTGCTGACCTCAATCCGGTAGGGCCACTTAGACCCCGAAGATCAACTGACACTACCGAAAATTGTAGGGAGGCACCAACCTGAAATCATATAAACATGTGGATGGAAATTTAATGTCAAGAAATACACTGTGAGAGGCGCCCAAATTGAAAACGGCATGGGTTTGTCATAAAATTCTTTCGAAGATGTAGATAAATCTTATTCATTTGCTTCTATCCGTCTAATCTGCTTAAATATAACCGGAAACTCTCCACCGGCATTATTCTGTTAATTATGGCCATATGTGGCCTAGGTGCCACGAACTTTAAGACCTTGCCGTTCATTGTTTCTTTTCTTTCGCAATGAAACTGCCAAACTGAAATTGCACCAAGTAAGAAAAATTGATTACAGCAGATATTTTTACCAGTGCTCGATATCAGTGACAGTCCATACTTACTTCAAAGTGCGCGATGAGAGCTGGGGCCAGATTAGGCCCTAAATCAACCAGTTTGTGATCGAGATGTCGAAGACCATTCGCGGCAGCATAGAGAAGTCCTGAAAGGCTCTCCACTAACCGTTCACTATTTTGCTGCTTGCTAACCGTAGGAAAACTGACATAACCGTTCTGCATGAGAGAAACAGGACCACCATTTTTACAAAGCAAGCCAAACAGTTTCATTAGTAATGCAATCGGTTTAGAAAACGGCTTTGAACTTTGTGCATATGGTGCAATATAATAGAATAAAAATTTTGCAATGTAAAAATAGATAGTGGCGCATCCATGGGTACAGTAAAGCCCGAAACGGATCTGTTATGATTACCTGAGGTTTTTTATCATCGTGGCCATTTGAAGTCAGGGCTCGTGTGGGGAAGATATAATGCCAGCGTCGTTCTTGAGGCTCCCAAGCAGCAATTCGCGACAAGAGAGGCTGATTTAACTCGGTAGTTAAGCGCGCAGCAGCGAAAGGCGAGGTGACGTCGTGGCATACTAGTACCGAGATTCTTAGATGATAAATCCAAAAGTGAAGTAGGATATTATAGAATAGAGATAGTTGAAATAGTGATCATTATGGACGACCTTACTTACACGTGAATGTACATTTCATATGCTGTACCCAACAGACCCGTTGCACCTTTCTAGAGGGTGGCTTCATACTTGGACGGTTAAACGTAAGCTTGGTTATAACAATTACCCCGTCTTACCTACGAACGAATCTAACCTTGGTATATAGCTTTGCTTACTATCTCAGTCACAAGGATTCGTCAAATCGCATTTTCTTTTTTTGCTTCGGACAGCAAATGTGGCGCCTGCTAAAGTAATAAACAATATATATGCTAATAGTGCCAATAATTTCGGTACCACAAAACAACATATAAGAAAAAGACAAAAATTCAATGAACCTACTCGTTTTCTAATAGGGTCCGACAAACAACTTCCTGCACTCCCAGATTGGATGCCTTGTCCTCACTCAGCTGCTCCAGATCCCACAGCGCTATCCGAACGCGGCTATGCGAAACGCTCGGAGGATCATTTCGAGCGACAATAGGGCGCTACAAAAGGAACGTTTATATAGAACATTTATTACGTGTTCCTTTGGTTGTACATGCTTATCTCTAGTGATAGCTGGGTATGTTTACAGGTTTCTTTCTTTTGCGATCCAATACATGTACGGGTTCAATTAAAATCGGATATATTTTCGTATACATTTGTCGCTTGACGGAGCGAGTAACAACAAAAAATAAAAACTAGCGATCACTTAAATTGCAGCCATCCTGGTGCGCACACAAGGACTGCCTCAACTTACGACAGTAAGATGGGCAATCAACTTGTAGATATCATAGTCGATTTCCGGATCCCAGCTTTTAGGTGCGAGACTAGCTGCCATAATTTGTCGAGAGCGTCTTGAATTCAATGAAATGCTCGGGGATTTCCGTGTACAAAGTGATGTCGCAGGTCGTATGTCACTTCCGGTGTGAAATGTAGTAGAATCGTTGCTGGCAGCACTACCGTTATCATCTGTCGGTGTTGGACAACTTGAAAAATCAACGCAAAGTCTTGGACGCAAGACTGCCAATTGAACGCTTGAGATTCCTAAAGATTGCAAAAATTCATTATTGTGATTATCTGTGATCCACATTTATTTTTTGGACACTATTCTTACCTGTCGGCGGTCCGTGCTCACTAAGGACCACAAAATGCAAATTACTTACTAAATCTATTAAAAATAAAAAGTACTATCCATCACTTTATCTGTACAGACTTACGACCTTAATATTTAATTAGTGTATTAATAGATGAAGAGAAACTGTTTGTATTGATAGAAGAAAATTGTAGGTTTATCGTTCTACGGCTACTAAAAAAGGACAAAGTCAGGTAGCCTGATAGCCTTACAAATATCCGATTTTTGATGCTTCGTTTCAGTTTATGAACCCAGACTCCGTTCATGCAGCCTAGATCAATTTTTTCAGATAGGTTAATTAATGCATTTATTTTCCTGAATTATCCAGGTTAAGCCCATAAAATGTATCAGATAGTGGGTACTTAGCTTTACCTTTGACCTTGAGAAGAGCATCGATTGTTTTAAAGTGCCCCCTCTTTTCTCGAACATGACAAATCCCGGCAGCCAATTCTTGTGTCAGTCCAGGGAGAGCCATAAGTTCAAACATAGACGCCGTGTTTATATTGACCTGTGTCTGAGTCGAGCTTCTACAAAGTTCAGCAGGAGGACATGGTTCAAATGGGCACAATACCTATTTAGCAATAGAGCTGAGTCCAGATGTAATCTACGAACGTATGTAATAAAATTGTCACGTTCCATTAAAAATATAAGCTATCCAACTAGATACAGACACCAATAAATCTGCCTTTTCGCGCTGACGCCCTAGAAAGAGAAAGACGACAAACCTGGCGGGGGTCCCATCAAGCGACTCGAGTGATAGAGCGGTCTTCTGACCCCGAGATATTCGTTTATGATTAAAGTTTGACACGCACACTTCGTTCCGTAGAAGTTCCAACTTATTTGCCCCTACCCCGGATACTAAGGCCAGATCTTCCACCTGAGAACCAAGTTGGAAAACGTTTTTATTTCGCGCAGTATGGACGGGATCCACTACGTTAAACAGCGAAAGCTTCAATATGCGCAGTATGAAAAAATATCTTGTTACTATCATTCTACCTTCCGAAATCCGCCGATTGCCCTTCGATGTGCGACAATATCTCGCGCTGTCTGGCGGCTGACCCCAGTTAATGTCATAAGCTCATCTTCCGTTGCAGTATTTAAGTTGAGTTGATCGCAGTCGTCATGGTCACCCAAGCTGTATTGAAATCTGCAACAAAAAGATGAGATGAAGTCGTATGCTATAGAATTTCGATATTTTTGGGGTGAGCAAAAGTAAGTTTCAGGTAAAAAAAATGTATCTATCATTAGAAAGATACAAGCGAATGAACTTACGTGGCACTAAGATCCCGACACGAGCGGTTCTTGCGAATTCGAAGACTTTTCCGTAGTTTCCGACGAAATCGTTTCGATGACGATAACGAACATGCGCTTTTAGTGCTTTTTGCGTCCCAGTCCACTCCTGCAGAATTTCGTGTCCCAGCCAACACACCTTGTTGCTGGCCCATTGCCCTTTAGCTGCCTAATAATGATCACTAAACAAACAGCAACTATCAAAACAGATCCGAGAAGAATACAGGAAGGAATATATAAAAAAGCAATGTAAAAGAGCTGTGTATTTCTTTGTGTGACACGTAACAGGTCAGACCTCATCTTGATATTGAGCATCATTTACCCCGGTAATATTTTAGCGCCAATCTCGCGATGACGGCCAAATGCCAGATATTAGTCTAAGCCGATCGTGCCATTCATTAGCTTCTGTCATTAACGATACTACGTATCGTGACGAAGCTTAATCATGTAAGGATTTATCGATGGTAGCAAGTTTGAGTATCGCTGGTTGAGAACTGATAGCAGCTTCGTAAAAATACAACGAAAGACAATAAACACATTGAAAAATAAAAATAAATAAATAAAATGTATGTTTGTTACTTTTGTCGTACGTATCTTATCCCTTTCTGTGTGCTTTTCAGTTTTGCAACTCAAATAAGCTTTCGTGAATTAGAGGGCCAATCGAATACCGCTTAAACTAACCAATTGTTGTTATACGATATATTTAATTATATACGATCTAAAATGTACCTCTTGATCCAGATTGGCCAAAAGTTATCAGATTATTATCAATTTCTCACATAATAAAGCACGTAAACCAGTTAGTGCACGATGCCAAAAACAGGGTTATTATCTTCTCAAAATGGCACAAACTGACTGTCACAATGTCTCGAATTTTTTTGAAGCCGTTAAACATTGCTTCAGAAGATTAGCTCCTAGTACGAGGCGAGGCGTTCTGATTATTTGACAACGCCCCTTTCTAAACGTAACTCGATCAGAAATTGGTTTTTAGCTCATGCGCCTTCGGAGTAACTTTATCGTGAAGCAAACAGGTCTGCAGAGTTAATTAAAACGTGACCAGCGTACGATTTCGTCGCGTTACTGACAATCAAGGGGAACCTCAAAGGTTAGTTCTAAGGGGGGCTTATCATTATTTCGTTTCATTGCACGCTAACATAACAAACGTGTCGTCGATTTCTGAAAGCATAATCCTTGATGAACATAAAGGATTCATGGTAGTCGTACTTGCCCAGTTGTATCGTATTTCAGAGATATTGTGTAGAAGACTCGATTTCCGTTGTATTTAAAATTGCGCTTTTACACTTTTTTTTGAGTTGATATTGAAAATTAGATACACATGTAGAAAGGTAAAAAAAAAAGCCACGTAAATGCATTCATCCAAAATATACGAAGGTCTGACTTAAAACAGATTTTGAATTTCCCGAGTTGCCCCACGATCCTATTTTTCATTTGTATTCAGGTTACAATAAGTGTCGCTGAAATCACTAATAAAATTGTATGGGTTTATGTCAAGAGCTACCCATATTTTGATTATCTTAGACAGTTTCTTTATAGTTGTTTAGTCACCTCCTCGATACTCGTGTCTATTCATAACTTGATCATGCCAAATATTGACTTAGCGTTAACTTGGAGAGATGCAGACTGCTCTATCTAGGAGCTCAGTTGTATTGAAAACAGCTTGATAGGCGGACCCGTGCAAACCGCACTATAAAATAGATTATGATGCACTACTAGAATATATAAGAAGCTTAGATACGTTTCAGAATAACGATGCACTATCTCTGATAACGGTCGTACAAACGAGATAAGCTTGCGAAAAGGAAAGCAAGATTTAGTAGTTTTCCCAAAACAAAACATTGTTCAAGGGTAAATGTAATGGAAGACGAAAAGACACTATATAGTAAACGAAACAGCCCACTTGATGTTTTTTGTATATGTGCGAAAGTCATGCCCTGAAGTGTAGAATGAAATTTTGAAGTCATCATGACGTGACCTTAAGCCCGTCGGCCCAAGCGGTAGTACGCTATTGTGAGCTGGGAACACTGTGTTCCTCCATATGACACATTTTCTTAGTGTGCATTTCTTACGGATACCAGGCTTCAGATCTAGGTATTAAGCTACGATAGCCCAAAAACATTAGCCAGAATGATGAAACTAAATTCGCGCTGTTGTGTTTCCTATCGTGGGTCGCTACCTCTTTTAGTCGACTTTGACTAATATTTGTATCAAATAAACAAACTTCCCTGTCCGGCCAACTAACGGGCATATCTCACATAATAGGACAACGAATTGCCGTAGCACATAATGGTTCCCAAATCATTCATAACATTCAAATCAAATATAGGTGTACATGAAGCTATATAATAAAAGTGTGCAGTTTTCCAACGAAAATCTGAATTAAGCATTTGAATAGAACAGCCCAATGCAATATTTTGTTTTGCCGATGACGATCATTAATCACACTTTGATTCCAGTATTTCTGTGAAGATCGAAATCCAAAATGGACTCCTCCGTAGAATCAGCTTCGCGACAAGCACAGTAAGCGGGTTTCTTATAACTCCATCTATTCACTAATCTTCTTTATCGCAGGAAAATATTTGTGATCTGAGATGTGCATAACAGATAGAGTTTATTATTTAAGGCCGAACTACACTCTGCAGGGCGGTGTCCTGGCTTAATTAGGCTGGCCTAAGCAGAATGGGTGCTTGAACAGGGTCGAGAGTTAGTCGTCGACTGCTATGAACAAAAGCGCGTCAAAATATACGATGGAACAATTATAGTAGGCGCATGACAGGCATCTGGGATGTACACCAAACGATAACTACAGGAACGCCTCCAGGGAGCGATTGGGGGTCCGATTTTAACTAATAGCAACGGCATTCGGCGGCAGATTTCTTCTGTAACGCTGTAGCGGCATATTTAACTCTTGCAGTACATTCAAGATCGACGGTATGTAGTCTCGCTTATAGAAGTAAGCGTTGAATATTTTTTATTTTTCGTTTGACAATATAAAGAGCACTGACACACCCGTATTTGAAAAATACGGACCTTTATTCCGTATATATATGCACACAATATATTTAGCCCAAACTCTGAATTTTACCTTATGCTTGTCCATAGGGGATATGGGTACTCTGACGCCGGTCAGTAGTATCAGACATAGCAGGTCAGAGTAAGTTGGGAACAAAGCGCGATGACTACTAGTGAACTCTCAGTGTCCCTAATCTTACGAATCGGTAGGTCATACGCTAAATGCTGCGTATATAATTCTCTTCCTAGATTCCGTTTCCAGTGCTTCAATTAACCTTGAGCCTGAACCACTAAGTGGAACCGTCAGATATATAACAAGCTCTTCTATATAGACAATGCCCGCAGTGTACTGTGCAAATACGAAATCATAATACGGACAGAGGTAACGTCATTCAAATTTTTCATATCGTATATAGGGAACAGCTACAGGTACGTGTATCAAAGCAACCGCAAAGAATCTGTAGCCCAATGAATCGACTCCGCGAATACTTCAGATTAGAAAATCATGATCTCGAAAAGAAACGAAATTTTTCGCTGTGGACGCTTACCTAACCTTGGATAACTAGTTTTTTGAATAACCTTTGGGTATTGCTTCAAAGACATACAGTTATAATGACGCCTTCTTGCCTTGTTTCAGCCGACTGCAAATAAATCTTTATTTACGGTAAAAAATGGTGTGTTTACACGTCTGACAAGGCTGACTTTTTTTTTTAGGCTTTCAGGCGACCTGTCTCCACTGGCTCTTGAATCTGGGTTGATAGTTCCCGCTGACCTTGGGGCACCTCGCCCTTTGCCTCTCGTCGCCCTTCTGATCCGCCTGATGCTGTCGCAATGGAATTTTCAAGGCGCTTCTTTAGATTCCTGTTCGTCGGTTCATTGTCGTTCATTTCATACGTTCGAATACCTGATAGTTAAAGAAAATAAATTTATCTGCTTTGAACATCACTAGAGGAACTACTTGCCCCAAAAGCCTGCAGGGATATTTTATTTGCGATCACCTCATAGTCCAGAACGTAACAACGCCTAAATTAGCGTCGCATGATCGATCTGTTGTTCTTCTCAGCTTAATCATTGGTAACATACCATTAGAGTTATAGCACTTAGATTTGCTGCGGCTGTGACGTGAAAAAAAACTTCTCGTAACTTCCATTGTAATATTATATTTATTAGAGTTCGTGTATATACCGCAAGCCTGTTCTTCACGTGTAGCAGTCTATGATGCGTGCGTTATTTAAGTTGTTAACCTGATTTTGCGTGCAAAGTTCTCTGAATGTCTGGGGCAATGTTTAACGACAGAACAGGTTATTCGGTTTCTCATAGTTTTCAGGTCGGTATTGGAAATTTTAGTGGTTTTAGTTGGGCAAACTTTCATTATCCACATATATATTGCCTATATAGCATAATTTTATGTGACTTGTATACGGGAAGGCATACTCCGTTTCGTCGCACGTTGACGTCGATGAAATTTTTTTGATGGATGGATGGATGGATGGATGAGTAAATGAAAATTTCTCGCGTCTGGACGGATCTGTGATCTGGGAGTGCCCAGTGATCGGAAGTGGTAGATACCATGGTGAACTTATAAAATGAATCTGTTATCTAAATCGCGTTTGCGCGTGCTAATCTGCTCAGTGCCAAAGTGAATCTTCTGTGGCTAAGTAATGTAAACGTTTAACGTTATCAAAAAAAATATTATATTACGATAATCATAATACCGCTATATCAGTATACTGAGGTGTTAATGAGAGCCTTCGTCTGTTTACGGAAGTCATAGTCATAGTTTCATTGGCATCGTACGCCACCTTCTAATTTTTTCTTCTCAGAAAGCAACCGATTTTCTAACTTGCATACACAGCTTTAAATAAAAATGTGCCAATAGTTCTCTCGCCAGGCAGCTAATTGGAACGAAGTTAAATCCGTCCAATGTGAAAAGTGCGATGAAGCTCAAAATTGGAAGCCTGATCGTTCGGAAAACTACTCTAACCACTGAGCAGTTTTTAAGGAACCACTGATCAATGGCCTAGATTGCGCCGTGGACTTCTTAATTGTCCTCAAAGCGATGACGCGCAATAGTCCGTTGAGCAGCACATGAACTCAGCTTACATCTACAAAACAAACAGCATTTTATCAATCGATCCTTAAATTTCAGGCAAATCGATATTTACGTAAGTCAAGTACATTTGTTTACCTAATAAATCTAGTTGCTCATGTATAAATATATATATATAAAAATAAATACATTGCTCATGTAAGCATAAGGTCATAGACCATTTACGATGCTTTATTAAGCAGGTCTTTGCCGAAACCTACTCTTGGGTTGACGAACAGGAAGCATTTTGGCGAATAGTTAAATAGTAAAGATCAAATCGATCTCAATCTTCTTTTGGGCGACACAATAGGTATCAGCCATGTGTGTGTATATAGCTTGGTGCTGGTTTTAATGATAGCTGCGTCCTCACCACATTTACCTTGGATTACTGGGAACTGTAAGTCAAATTTACGTATATACTTATATATATTGAGATTGTAGTATAAGTGAATAATAATTAATAGTATAATTTAGTGATACAATTAATGACCAATATATACCAGTATATATATTTACCTATATAGAAATTTAAGGCTCTCCCTTAAGATCGATACGGAAACGATACAGAATCAATGTACTACTACTCTTGGAAGGAACTACAAACATAATCTCACAATCGAGGTCATGTCTCTATTTTTTTGTCTTCCTGACATACCTGGAAAGCGTGGCCGATCGTGGACACATGGTCCGTCCAGTGGGAAAAGGCTGAAGCATGCAGATGGTCTAAAACGCTCAAGATATAAACTTGAGCTAAGCTAATCAACGAGGTATTGCCTTTTGACAGAATAGGCAATCCCAGTCAATTTCTATTTGAAATTATTGACCACAGTCACGCACATGGGGCTAAAGCAACGTTTAAACGACTTACATATCACTACAGTAGTATTTACGTTTAGAAAGTAAAATATAAAAAGTATCTTTTATGCCCTCCCGCCTTGGCTCCATTAGTTCTACATCAATGTTAGAAGATCCATTCGGAAATGGATCTTCTAACATTGATAAGCCCCGAAAGACCGTCTAAAAGCTTCATCTGACATGTGTATGTTCGTGTTGAGTTCTTTAGAAAAAGTGCATGTGCAATTAATCCTTAAGTTAAATATGGAAATAGGATGATTGATCAATCTGGCGGAGAACTCCATTAAAGTCGTCTATTTACTTATAGTATGCATAGTTTTCGTTAAGATACGTTTTGCGAGGATGCACGTGAAGGCGTAGTACGCGCGTACGCTAAATGAGTTTGAAGTTTTCATAGGAATTTAACTGCTTGTTATTGAATTAATCAGACATCAGACTGTGCATGTAGAATATAAATTGCCCAGGTAAAAGACAGGCTTGTGGATATACTAGCCGGCGTTGTTTTGGTGGGTTGGTTTGATGACTCACGGTTTCGAGACTGAGCAGACACGTCTATTTCGCATACTTACATCGTCGCGCCCCAGGCTACAAAATGCGATACGTAATTATATTATCTTATTATATAGCTCCCCCTTCTCAGAGACAGCAGTATGGTAAGGTGGCTGCTTACCATATTAACGAACTATACGTATTGCCCAAAACAAAAACTTTTAGAGTAGGCTGTATATTTATTAGGTGAATTTAATTTCTAGTCCAATCGCTACACGTATGCCTGGCTGCGCGTGTTATGTTTCCAATCACATCGTCATTGATTCTTCCCGATAGGATCATGATAGTGTCTACTAGTAGGACAGTCTGTAGTACGACCAAGTCTATAGTGAGATTATACCACATTACTATGTATACACGCTTAGTGGGACTTTAGTACCTCACATTGCCTTACATGTATACCTTTGACAAGGAACAACACATTCGCTGCCGACCCTCGAAGAACCTGCATCCTATTGATAGTCGTATAAATTGGTCATTAATTGTATCACTAAATTATACTATTAATTATTATTCACTTATACTACAATCTCAAAATCGTTCGGTGGGGTCCTAATACAAAATAGTATTTTGAGCACCTAAGATTCCCTTTGTGCTCCCCATCACCGATTTACTGAATCTGTATGCATCTGTATGAATCTGCGCTGTACAATAGATGTCAAGGGATCTTCTTACACCTTACGATTTGGGGGTTCATCATCCTATAGGAAAAGCTCACGAAGCTATGCGCGGAGGATCACTGAAACACTACAATAGCGTTCGTCATTTCGTACACCCCAAACTATATAGCATGGGACTTAACTGCCCGACTTCGATCATAGTTTAGGCCTTTGTATCAATAAGGCATTTTTACCGTGACGCAGTTACGATTGCTATCCGGACGAGAGCGACGACTAGAAGAGGCAAAAGAACATTAATGACTCTCAACGACCCAGCGCAGCCTAACATAGACCGTTGGTGCAGTGGAGGCTATGACGACCATAATGCTAGACAACTTGCGGGGGCAAGTTCAACCAATAATCGTCTATTCGGCAGTCATAGAATGGTTGTTACGGTAGCTGTGGCACGTAAAAATGTAAATTTTCCGTCGCATACATGCTCCACTGAATGAACTGCGGCCAGATCAAGCCAGGCAGTCGTTCCGCGGATTTGGGCGTCTATATCAGCGCTTCACAAAGTCATTTAGCGACTCTAGAATCAAAGTACACCTAGAACACTACGAATCGTGTTTCCACAACATAGTGTATGCTATAGAAATTTTATTCAAAAGAGAAGCTTAGCTGGCTGAAGCTTATTCACATAAACCCAGTATTTATATTTGTCGCCCAGCCCTCTATTACACTACTTTCGTTAAGGTAACCCATGTTGGTGAGGAGGAAAGTACGCAGGGGACTGTAATGCCCAGTATTGAAATTCGACCAAATTCCAAGAGCCCAATGTAATATAGCATTAAGTCACAATTACGAAACGCAAAACAATATAATATGCGATAAAATGGATTTTTTAGAAACCTAGGGACCATCTGACCTTTTATTAGAGTAACCGAGTATGCGACCATTTGGTGTGTACTATATACAATGTCTTGTTGTGCATGAGAGACGTGAGTCATCGGAGAGGCTGCGGCTAATGAATATAGGCTTTCAGAAGCAAATACGATCACAGAGTCGTTCTTCGATTGATAATCAATTAGAACTGACGCAAGCTATTCCTCTTAACAATCGTCACACGATCTCAAGTTAGCGTTAGAAAGTTAAAATTCCAAACAATAAAATTTCAAATAGATGTATTTCAAAGTCCTTTGGGACAAGATGCGTATGTGTTAACTACCAACGATGATGGTATGGATCGTGAACAGCTCTGGATAAAAGCGTCACGCACCTCGATTTCTTATGGCGTCGTTTATGGATTTAACGGCACGTATTAGGAGATTGCTAGCGTTATAACATACTTAACAATGTTAGAGAATTACTCTTAGGTCGAGTCGATTTCACTAAGATTATGGAAAAACTGAAACACACGGCAAACTTACATAGGTAAAGCTAGTCAGCATTGTTTACGGCCCTAAGCTAAAGTATTACTGACAGCATAGGCGTGCTGTGATAATACTAAAAATTCTCATATTATTCTGGACTTTTGTTGATTTGTTTTGGGGAGATAGGAAACTCGTGTGATTGCGTACAAGTGGTGTCGGTACTCCTGAGTTCTGCGGTGCGACCAAAAAAAAAAAAAGTGGTTTCTTTCTTTCTTTTATGTCGATCGTTGGATTCATGACATATTGCCAGCTGACAACTTGTCCAGACATGCTTCACTTGATTTAGTAGAGCTAGATTATATCTGCTATTGCCAAAGTGCAGGGCAGCTGCACCTTGAAAACCTTCGTCTTGGCAAGCAACGAATGGAAAATTGGAGGTCTAGATTTCTTCATTCGTTCTCGCAGGAGAGAAAGACGCCGGGCATATTTGCAGGCAGCGCAACGTTATATAAATATGCACTCGTAACAAATGGAACATGTCATTCAATGACATGCTTATGTCAGAAGCGACCTGGCTATATTGAAAAAGTTGCGTGAGAGGTCCTGCATCTGATATAGTGAATAAAAAAGGGCTTTAATGAACTCTACTTAACATTGTCAGTCAATATTTCATTTCTTCGTCATGCCTCACACACGTCTATCGTGCAATGACGAAATAACGATATGCCCTGCACGATAGCCAATCGGACCATGTCATTGAAAATTCTAGCGATTAATAGTTTCATTCAGAAGCTTCAGCAGAATATCAGCGAGCTGGCACGTGGTTCCTTACTGTTCGAACGCGGTAAAAGTCACTCATCCTGAGTTTTTTCAATGTTCTTCATTAAAGCTACTTAGAGACAATAAACCAAGTGTTGAGTTAGTGTTTCTTCCACTGGTTAATAGAGTCAAGAATAAATTCAAAAATTAATGTGGACCAAAGATGCTATCAAATGGATGGTTTTGGGTTATCTACGCCCATTGCTATATTTTCAAGAATGCTTCAATATCTCGTGAGTGCAACAATTGTGCATTAAAGTGTACCATTCCAGATTTACACAAGCGTTAGTATAAAAGTCACATAAAGGAAGTATAAAGAATATGATTTAGTTAGTAGTAAAGACCGCTAATGAAGCCTGCGTCTTCTCTCTAACGATTGTCCGTTATACGAGCCAACATATCAACTTGTACGCGTGCAGCGCGGGAAATTAGATGGAAAAACATCTCCACACCCACTGCCACTATATATTTGCTTCTTCCGTTTAAAATCGTTTATTACTTGGCCTGTTTGTGCGCTTGCGCGTTTATGCAATCGTTATATATCATTACATTAACAATTTGACCAAGCTAAATATCATACGACAGCGAGATACCCGAACCAAGTTACGCGTCGTAAAATAATACAAAAACCAACCACATTATATATGTGTGTAGTAGGTGTTGCGCTGGGCGGCGTCGTCATATCTGGCACCCGTATCAGCAGCGTTTGCCACGGGGGCTAAAGTACAGCAAAGACGATAACTCAGCCATGCAAAAAATGCTGTAGACCGACCCCAAGGTCGTTGTCCTAACACGAATCACTGATGATAGTACAGAATGACCTGCAACAATTAGCGATACTAGAAAATATATCGGTGTACCAAAAAATATAGGTGACAGTTCGATCTGGTTTCCAAATCATGGCAATTCAATTGTTTCACTCATGAACTTGAATATATATAGATTGACCTTCTGGCGTTTTATCGCGATGTTTTGTTAAGTCGAATATTTATTGCCGATAAAATACGAACAATACTTATTTGAAAGAGCCCGTTTTCGTTTAAAAATTATTTTTTAAAAATATAGTGAAAGTGTAAACGTCAACCTTGCACATACGCTACAACGGTACAGGTTATTAGCGTACCTGTAAGTTGGATGAAAATTACACTAGTATGGTATCGGAATGAATAAAACATCGATGTCAAACAAATTGAACATATGCGTCTACTAAACGTTACGCAGGTTCCTGAATGAACCATGCACCGAAGAAATGTATAACGTCTAGTCCGAATGTACAGATGTAGCTTATTACGTGTTGTTTATTACCACAAAAAATTGAAAGGGCAAGACTTTTTCAACATTGAAATGTAGAATAGAATACCTTAGTGTACAATAATCATCAACAGAAGAAAGTCAACTACAGATCAAGCAGAATTGACCAAATGAAATTGGTCAGGAGTGACATCTTTCCAGCAGTCGTTACATATAATGGTCATTGCCAATGACCGTCAGGATCTATTATAGTTTCGACCGATACATATCCTCGAGATCAGTCGAAAGAATTCAGCGACAATGGAACTTCGATTGATTTGCACCCAGTATTACATAACTAAGACCTTAGGTGTAGCAGGGGAACCCAAAATAAGTACCAACTAGATTCTACATCATTTTGGATGGATCAGTTGTATATCATCATCACTCTTAGAGAGAAATCGACCAACATACTCTAGTATGAAGGTGCAAAACCTAGATTTTACTTCAAAGCTTTAGGGCTTAGTATAAGCAAGACAGATACGAGGTAAAAGAAACTTCGTAAGCCAGTGTGATCGTTTGGGAGGTCCGAAGCTTTTGTGAGCGCCCTTCTGTTGCAGTAGCTCATATACCGTCAATCAAAATATTACTCCAGGGGGTCTCATCGGATCGTTTTTTACCCTATCACGTCCTGGCAAGAGCGAGCCCGTTGAAAATGACATTGTTAACACTGGTCCATTAGCATGGAGTGCGACGACTTCCAAAACCAGCCGAACGGTTTGCTATAATCTATATCTCCTTAGAGCAGTGTTGTTTTGCTTTCTTGGGAGAATTAGGACTTCAATAAGGAAGGTAAAAATTGAGTCACGCCTAGTTGTCTAGTTTCAAGCTAAGAAAGAGCGAAAAACTCGTTATAAGATATCATAAATGGGGTCGACTGTTACGGAAAGCTTCTTTCATTTCTACGCTCCTATTAGAGAGATTCAACAGTTGTTTATTACATATAGTAAGTTGGACTTTTACAGGTTACCTTCATCGTATTCAATTTGTCCGCGATATAATAGTGTACATGAATTGCCTTATGACACTGTGAGCGTCAGACACATCAGATGCCCCCCGCCCATCATACAGCCATCACGCTACACGTTCACAACAGTCACTAGTTACGTTGCCTATCTACATTATGACAGTAGCTGATTTTCAATAATCGTAGTCGAAAATAATAATAACATAGAAAGTATCAATCGCAGTGGTTCTCAAAAAGCATTGGTAATGAAGCCCATTCAAACGGCCGCCGGCCCGCGTGTACCCATTGACCTCCGCTGATCGGGCTATTATTCGTTCGTAGTACAAAGTATAACATAGCCAGGTAGACAACGGCAGCGTGCGGACTGCTATAATTGTCTGCGAGGAAAACTCTACCTATCTGGTCAGGTGTGCCTGTGCTTTTGAAGCGACTGCGTCGCCGACACAGCCATAGATGCCGTCACCAAAGGAGCTGAAGCAGTGGGGACCACTATTTATGCCGCTAATACAGCCGTACTTTGCCTTGTTTAACCAATATTATGACAGGCTTTGAAGAGATCTGTTAGGCCGTTTAGGCAAATAATTCGCCTGATATTCTGCGATGATGCAAGGCTGCGGTGCCGATAATCATAATCGGTCTGTCCACTGAGAAACGGAAGTAGCTAGACTGTGGCTTGCATTATTCTGATCATAATGTTCTAGGTATCACTAGAAGTTTTTGACGATTTGGAGAGGTAGAGGACGGACAAAAACAGAAGGACACCAGGTATATGATTTCAAACTATATATGCCGATTGCTTACTGCTTGTCGGTATACGAAGGGTCGCGATTATTGGCAGATGCTCGACAAAGTTCGGCTTCTGACCAGTTGTGCCGTCAGAAGTCAATGCGTATAATGATACACGTTTTGGGATAATTTGGAAACGTAATGAATACAAAGCACAAAGTTAGTGTAACGGTGACTCGATAAAAATGTGAGAACCTTTTCAGCATATATAGGTTTACCAAGTCGAATCTTTCTGAAGCTACGCATCAAGCTATAGCTAAGTAAGTTTTCGAATTTAGCTATCTTTTACACTTTCTGACAATTAGAAGGTACAATATGCATAATGCAACAGGGGAGCACATGCTGCCACCATTGCTATGATTAACTTATTACGCTTTTGAACAGTTGCGTACGAACAACGTATAACAATATGTCTCTGAAAGTAGAAAGCATCTTTACTACAGCAGTATTTATATATAACGATGTACCATACGCCCTTGGACAACAACGACAAACACGTGGGTCAAGGTAATTTGTTATTGATTACGCTTCCTATTCTGGCTGAGGGTGTAGATGTATGTATGTATGTATGTATGTATGTATTAATGGGAAAATCCTCTAGATGCAGCTCTTCTAGGAATATTTACAATGAACGGTTCAATGGCGGCCTTTTTCAAATTGTCTATGTAAATCGCATACAGGATTTGGACATCATCAAACTGTTGCTAATAACAAACGCTGTTATCATCTATTTACAATTTTATAAATCTGAGAAAAAAAATATATAATGTTTGGAGAAATAAATCAAATATTACAGAACATCTACTATAATAGAGCATTACTACCTTTATATATAAACAAAACAAATATTTAAATAGGCCCGGTAAATACACTAGCGCGTTCTTAAGAAAACGCCGGTCAGTATCTTTAAAAATGCAAACGTCTTTTAAATATCGGCATCTAATACATGATAAATTGGGTGTACATGGGCTCAAACACGCATCCTTTATATATATTTATTTATTTATATATATGGCGAGCGTATAAAAAAAATGTAACTGTCTCTTTATTAACATGTATTTATTATGATATTTCTACAGCTTCGCGATCGTTCGTAAACACTGTCAGTTGAAAACGCTGGTCAAAATATTGCCCCTCCGTATAGGTATGACTTTTCGTTGGCTGACATCTTAATAATCCTTCCGATACACTTACATCGTAAGGATTATTTGGAATAGGGGACACACAGCTACCCCACAAAATATAATATGACAAATGCCGGGATAATTTGCGCCCCAAATCTTTTCGGGGATCCCACATCGGGTGAGCACCCATACGATAGTCAAAGATGATGACCGAGCTCGTTGCTACGCCGCCTTGCTACGCTACTAGCGTCTACAATTCGGAACACGATCCGTGTAGCCTCAATCACAGATGCTTACTAATGTTTTTGTCATATCTGTTCTAAGAGCGGTCGCGGTTCGTAAACTTTGCTCGTCTTTCCATCCATACCAATAAAAAGGTCGCACAATAACCGCTCTCGCTGTATTGTTTTCTATTTCCCATTTTACAACAATGGGTAATTAATGTCCATTAGGGGAACGCAAAATAAGTACTTTTGCTCTTGATCATGACACTGAATATGCTGAATAGAAAAACTTAGTTGCGGGGTCTAGTACAAGTTACTGGTCTTATCAGTCTACTATAAGCACCGTTTGTTCAAGCACTTACAAATGTCAACTAGCGAGCATAGATGCGTGGACAGTGATCGTTGTAAAGCACCACGACGGGATGTGTGGCCGAACGGCCGACTCTGGTGATGTAAGCAAAATAATTGACTGATAGATTAAGAGCACTACTACATATAGTGGGATTGAACACTATGGCGATACGGCTTCTTCGTAAGCTAACTGTTAGAGGAGATTCCTACCTGAACCACAAGTTGTAGCCAGCTATTGATGTGTTTACTAAATGCTGTTTATGTTGATATGTCTCCCTTTAATGTCACCAAAAGAGAGCCGAACCACTTTTTCCAGGTTGCTTTAAAACGAAATTCTGATAGCAAGTACTCGTATATGAGAGGCGTTATCATAAACTAATACGCTCTTCAGCTAGTCGACTCACAAACTGATGCACAGAGACACTTCGCCGGAGCGGCTAATGCCACTTTTGCCATTCTGAATTGACTTTCGTTCGTGTTTTTCTTATTGTTGTGCTTCTACTTTGACTTAACTGTTGCCTAGATTCCACGACGAGAACTGAATATAGCTGGCGCTCAGTTCACAACTTTCCTTCACTACTACGTGCGTGGCTGAGGTGCAGAATGATTACATACAGGGAAACATGACCACAAAGCTGGCTTCTGCTTCTGTGGCGATCGTAACGCCAATGAAGATTGCCGTATGTCGAAAACCCGCGAGAAGATCTGACGCTTTGGCAGATTTTTGTTCATACCTTCTTCATGTCGCACTTACGTAACAGACAGATACAATACAGCAGCGACGACGACGAATGTATGTTGAAATGCTGAGCACTGCTTGTTGATTTCACCGTTTACGAAGCCACTGCCATCGCCAACAGCTCCATCTGCTGTCAGGACTCCAGCAGTTAGCTAGCTGACTGGCTAACAGATGTTCGCAAAGCGCTCCGATACAGCCGGCTCAGCTCAATGGTCGCAACGACTATTTGATCTTCTTCCTCTGTATCGTTCGATCTGTCTACCGTCCATTAGTGGAACGTCGTCTACCGTCTAGTTGGCCGTAAGCGGCGGCCACCGTGAGCTAAAGAAGTACCGCCAGCTGAATTAAAGAGCTTTTCGCGCTAGCCACCGATGGCGCTGCCGTCACTCACGAGAGGACAGGAGCAACACAGGATTAAAGGACAGAGGGTGGTTGTACGAGGTGACACAGGACAACAGCCAAACGAGGCCGGCTGTCGGATAAGAAAGTGGCCAAGAAAAAAACCGATTATGACGGATATGAGACAAAGCGTTGATCATTTTATCGATAATGCCAATAGAAGCATTGACAAAGGAATGACCGGGTAAGTTAGTAGCTTATTAATAGTCAATGTCTGCTGCTTTGCATGGACGGATAGCCGCTCGGTGACTGAGCCGTAGGAGCAATGTGAACAATCAGTTGATAAATCGTGAAGGGTGCAACGATAGGGCCAAGCAAATAAAACGGAAAGAGGTAGTAAAAATTGAATGACGGTTTATAGTTCGAGAGACAAAACACAACTGAAACTATATTTAACTGCCGCGCTTAAATAGTTATTCTATGAGTTTCCCCAGTAAAATTTACTGTAGAATAGTGTACAATAAAGCTGCAAGAGTTTACCTATCCACGCACTATTTTTCATAGATTTATCCAGTGATCTAGTAATCACCAGTTCGATGTCATACAGGCTCTAAAGAGTGAACAGTTCTGACGTCAACTGCGTCCAACCTGCAGTAATGTTAACCCAGTCATTGGTTTGCCCACACGGAACAGGATAAGTACGTGAACATATGGAGAAACGCTGAACGAGATTATGCTAATCCTCATCGTATAAATTTACGGGGTGACATAACTGCGATAACCGTCTAAAAGTACATTGGTCATCAGCCAATATCGAATTGTGAATGCAGGAACGATAGAAATGGCTCTGTAGAGTGAGAAGAATAGAGGAGGCCAGCATTCTTGGTTAACTTAACAGTAGTAGCCCGTTGGAACTTTCAAAACTTTGCAAGAAGTTCACTTTGATAATGCACTTATCACTGTGATGTGAGAAGGTAGGTTCTTGTCTTTGTTACACACGGGTCTAGGCCAAATGGCAATATGAGGGTGTTTGTTTGTTTGTTTATAGCCCTTTGAGTTGATTTAATTTATATACAGAAAGATTCTATCTGTACTGGTAGATTAGCAGAAGCGAAAAACCTGTAATCCATTGAATAGCTTCGCTCGATTACAAAGTTCTATTTTCACTTATAGTTTATCGCTGCACAATAAGTTTAGCATAGCTTCCAAATAAGTTGTGAGTTCCTATCGTCTCTTTCGTCGCTGCTGAAATCATTCACTCTGAATTCATTTGATGGGTGCGAAAATTAGTCTGTCGTCAATAATTGAGAATATTGAAGAATAATAGAAAAACGGTTGCCGAACGTTTTTAAAAATTTTTTTTGCTATAAAATCATGGGCATCGGAACTGCGCGCTCACCTCCGTTTTTGGCCTTGCTAGCAAAATACGCTATAGATGTTTGATATCGAGCTATAATATTAATAATCTAATATAAATTTAATATAACTTAAACTAATGCATGACAACCGGATGGTCTTCGACGATACTTATCTGTAGCAAACTACGAAATGCGAAATTGTGCACGAAGTAAGTACTGTAAACGACAATCTTTTATCAAGTTCTCGTGTTTGATAACAAAGCATTTTGCCAGCCTAGCGTGGCGGGAGGTCTGCGATTTTCGCCAAACGCTACTGCCTGAGTTGCTCGAACGATCTTAAAAATGTCAGGTTATGTAGGGGAAAATGTCAGTAGGTCTTGCATGGTTGAGATCTGTACGACTACTGCGTAAATATTAAAAAACAAAAATTAACAAAGATAAACGAGAAATATCTAAATGGCTTGAACATCTATCGAATTCGTGATGATAAAGTTTTTCGATTCTATTTTTGTCCTAAACTGTTAAGGCAATTTTGTAGCAGTACTATCAAGATGTATAACTGGATCTTATGAAGTCTCTTTCTATGTAGACCCGTAGATCTGAACTTTCTTTCTATGTAAAGTTCAGATCTACGGGACTAAGTTCACCAGGCGAAGAAGTAACTACTGTGCTTTTGCAATTTCACGCATATTTCTCAACAGTACCAAGAAATACGCCTACCCTGAACAAACGCTTGTTGTTCTTAAAGACCCATATGTACTTATCAATTTAATATCAATTGCAATCCGGTACCGCTTAACGAATGGGTTTCGCATGCTCTCATAATGCCAATAAATTTTTATTTTTTACATAAGCGGTTGTGCAGTAAAAACCTGATGTAATTAATTTGATCTGACGTTTCTCGATCCGCCTGCGAGCCTTAGGGACGCATGTGAGGGATATATTAGAAGCCAGAAAAGGAAGAAATGCTCTCATTCGTAATGGCGGTTCTGGACTTAAAACTCTAAGCATCTACTTCACGATCGTGCACTTGATAGCAGCATTTATAACGTAATGAATAATTTAACTCGATCCTCTGTTACAACAGTGCGTGTGTAGACGACAATGATGCTACCGTTACATATCGCTTCATGACTACTCACTCAATGCACAGAAAACTCTCTGGGAAAATGAAAAACGGGAATAAGTAATTTAAGCATTGTGTTTTGAAGACATATCATGATAAAATGTTGTTGTAAGATTAGTGGTCGTCTCTGCTGTGCAAGAGAAGTGCTGTTAATCCGCTTTTCTTTTTTTTTTTTTAACAATATTTGCTACTTATATCATGCGAACTTTGAATTGCGTGAGTGATATAGCGATCACTGTCACTTAGAATAAAGCTGATGTTGTCGATGGTATTAACTCCACGCTAGCAACCCGAACTGTGATGTAGGCGCACAGTAAGCTGACGGCGAGCGACTAAAAAATGTCTCGTCCTCGGCAGGACTCGAACCTACAATCTTCTGATTCGAAGTCAGACGCCTTATCCATTAGGCCACGAGGACTTATGATGGTACGCAAGGCATATTTTTATTTCCTTTGAGAGACCCGTTCGGACCCGCGGAACTCCTGTTTTTATTGCTTTTCTTTAGACATTTCCGTAGATACCTTCAGTCGGATCCTGGAACCAATATATCTAAGCGTATCAAAAAATTTGGATATTGTGAATTCAGTAGTGCTTGGCGTAACTGTGACTTTGAGGACGACAGAAGCGATAAGATAAAAGGAGACGGGCGGACTGGTTGCTAAGGCGCGCCCTCTATCGCGGTGTTACCTTTCTAATACGTGTTCTTCTATCTCGAATAACTTCTTTCGTTCAACAGTAGAAGTTCCGCGTCTTACACCATGGAGAGACGCAGAAATATAATGCTAATGATGCCGTTTACAAAGGGTCCTTCTTTTGTCGGTCTCTATCGTCCTACGCCTATTTTCTTTCAAAATAATTCCAGTGCCTCTCTGCGATATAGGGGTCATACGGAAGCACCCTTTCTTCAAGAATACGCTATTACCTGATAGCCCGACAAAAGCGAATACGCTTTACTAAACTGGAGAATGAAAACGTGTGATCAGGGCACGTTTCATCGTTGTCCTTAGTGGACCTAGAATAGAAAAATTTGGCGCAGATCGTTTTTGCAAACAGCTAAAGACAAACCCATGCCTTAAAAGTATGATGGGAGACTGAGTACAGGCGACGTCTTTCATCGCTCGGACAAGAACGCTCAAGAGTTGTGGCTGAGGATTGTCACTGGGCACTTTGAGCAGTTTTAATTAAAAACTAGCTGAATTAAATCGGTGGGATCTGTTTGTAATCCGACTCATTAACCAATATTGATGCCGAATACCTATTGCCATTTGCCTTCTGCCATAGCGAACTGTAGCAAAAATCGACTTTTTTTTGGCGACTAAAAAGTTCATTCTTAAATATTTCGTCAGTCCTCAGCCTTGCTTTATTCATACATCCTGTACTGCTTAGGACTATTTTTTTCCTTGTCCTGTTTTGATCTTGAGCTTACTTAAACCAGTTGGATCTGGACCAGAGCTTTTGTTCTGTAAGCTGGTTTTCATTTGACTTTTCGATATTTAGCAAATACGCGACCGTTATCAAAATAACTGATAAGAACGATCATCCATTTCTTTCACTGCTAGCAATGGACTCTATGAGAAAGTGTTTTCTAGTTATCAGCATTAACCCTATTTTTCCCAGATATGGCATTTTTACTGTAGTGTTTTCGCGTGATAACCAGTCTACATAGAGGAACCGCAGATATTTCTAGATCGAAATCGTCTGGACAGACGAACAAACTCTCACCTGTTTAAAATATATAGTATATATCGAGAGGTGCGTCGATAGAAGCTCTTACTGTCTTGAAATATAACAGAATATGATGGAAAAAAACAGACTAAACTCTATTTATTTAACGTGGATATGGTGTTGGTATATGTTGAAAACCAGAAAAGCTGCTTTAACGATCGATTGATGAAGATCTGATAAAATAACTAAATCTTTTTATTTATAAAGCTAATCATCCTAGTTGGTAATAATAAAACTCACATCGCCCTCGAGAGAACTCGTTGTAAGAAGCCCTATCCACTAGGCAACGATGACTTCATCTGGTTGGGGTTTGTGTCAAACGATTAAATTGTCTAAAGTTTTCATACGTGCGTCGTAGTACTTAGCCGGGCACTATTTACGTCACAACATTTTTGCTTTCTTAGACCGCGTATTTTGAGTACCGAAGATTGCAAGAACGTTAAATTTATCAAAGCCCGTAATCTGAGGGTCGAAGCTCTGTACATTTCCTTTGACGTATTTTATTTTGACGCACGCCATACTACACCAAAGTAATTGAACATTTAAAGTTCAAATTAAGTTACTAAAGCTTTCTGAAAATTGCTTTGAAATAACAGTCTCTTTGGACGGTACTCAAAGAGGTAGACCTAAACGAGACAGTATGCCGTGTTTCTTACTCAGCAATATTTCACGAGTTAGAATGCACACTAACGGTTCTTGAATAATGTAAGTGCTTTATCCCGGTGATGACGCAGTGACTAGTGCGTTTGGCTAATGTACGTGAGAGACGGGTAATGGTCAAGGTTCGAATCCGAGCATGGACGAACTTTGTGTCGTCGTAGGAGTCAGCCGTCTGATAAGATGCTTAACGGTGGTACTGAATGTAAATTTTGTAATTACTTGACGTTGAAGTGTATGCTTAAACAAGACAGAATTAAAATGCTACAAGAGATATTGACCTTAACGAGGCAACTGCCATCTTTGAACGTCGTTGTTTCGACAATGCGGAACTAGATCACCAATAACCTGAAACACTTGCGCAAGATGCTCACATGTGATCCGACGCTAAGCCCTGTGTTTTGATCTGCAAGGCTTCCATAGCCAAGTCACTGAATTACCTGTTAAAGTAGACTCACATTTAATAAATGTAAGGCCTCGCAATGCATTTTCAATGATTTAATAATGCTTGAAGTGTTATAACTTTGGATACTTCTGGACGTATCTGAGGGTTAGAATCATATGGCGTAATCTCGAGCAAAAGAACCAAATTTCGTATTATTTTTTTTAGTTTTTTTTTATGAATTGATGTTTTCTTAATTCATTTAGATACACCTGCGCAAATCGCTAAACGAGTTCGGTAACATTTTTTTTGCAACGTGACCTCAAACGATTAAAAGATTGCACCTCCGAAGAGGCGCTTCGAACTATATACAACCAGATACTCTGTTTGCGTGAAGATTTACAGCGTTACTATCACTATCGTCTGAATATCGTCAAAACAAAAAGTATAAACTAGCTTACAATTAAATATAACAAAAACCCCGATATATATACTTGCATATATCAGTCAGTTGCATTATATCATTGCATTCCTGAAAAACAACGATAACATTTGTGAATCTTAGCCAAAAAGGACTTCTTCTCCTTACTAAATAAAAACGTGCAGTGCTCCATCTGAACAATGTTTAGATACATATTCCATTTAAACTAATGTATAAATATTTGTATGAACTTTAGGTAAGGTATGCATATACATATATATATATATACGTTTATTGATTATGTA